TATGAATAGCTGTAGGAGACCCCTTGTACTAGTACCCCAGACTATAGGTCTGCGACTATATAAAGGGGCGGAGCAGCAGCTGGAAGATAACCTCTTCCACCTGTGACTCTGAATGTTCTCAAGTTCTAGAACCCTCATGCAATCGTACTCGCTCTCAAGAGGTAGTAAGCTTGTACGCTTGCTAGAGTCAGAACAGCGAACCTAGTAACCTGCGGGTGAACGTGCAGTAGCTGTAGCGGCCAAGGCCTAGCAAGGGTGGAGTGAGGACCTCACTGCTACATCGTCTACTAGGCTTGACCACACTATAAACCCTGCTAATAGTCTGTGTGACTATTGGAGGCGTTAGGTATATTCTATATCTAAGTCTCCGTCCACGTTGTGGACTAGTACGTGTGAGAAAGCACACGTGGTTCTGAACATTCTAGCGGGGAACGCTTCATAACACTGAGATATTGGTGAAGCACGTGATCTGTGGTGTGAGAAAAGTCACGTGCAGACTTTGTGGCGAAAATCTGTGACAATGACATTAAAGCTCTCTTCCTCACCATCCAGGCACCTATCGACTTCGACGACTACATTGCTCAGGTGATTACTTTTGACAACTGCATTTATGCATGTGCTCAGGAACTCAACATCAATTGGAAGAATGTCATGACTATTCTACCCATCCCAGCTACTACTCGTGAGCAGCATGTCTTCACCACAGCATACACGCTGGCCTCAACAGACCCTATTCCTATGGAGGTCAACACTGTCTGTCATCACAGCCCACTGTCAGACATGGAAAGGCAACATCATCGTACTCTGAGTTTGTGTGAAAACTGCAGTGGCAAGCATGACATCAAGTCCTGTGATGTGCTTGTGAAGCGCAAAACTGCATCTGCTTTGTCTGATTCTTTTCAGCCAGAAAAAATGAAGCCGGGAGCTCACTGAATGTTTCAGAGCCTCTGGAGACACAGGGACTGCTCTGCCCTCATCTCCAGCTTCCTGCAGTACCCATGTCAAGCTGACCTCTGGGTCATGGGTGCTGCACTCTACTCATGCCCTCACTTTCTGTCTCTCTCGCCATCTCACCTCGTTCTTGTATAACAGAATCACTTCTTCATCAGTGTCTCCCTCATGTTGCCTAGCTGCAAACCTCTTCACACCTATGCACTAGTAGACTCTGGGGCCATGACATCCTGTGTCTTGGACTGCTTTGCACAGCATCACTTGTTACCACATTCACTCAAGGACACACCTGTCCCTATCACTGCCATAGATGACCGGCCCATTTCCTCTGGTCTCATCACACAACATGTACTGGCTCATCTTCGGATTCATGACCATGATGAGCATATTGTGCTCTCTGTGGTCTCTGTTCCCTATTCACTCATCCTTAGTCTCAACTGGCTATGCCGGCACAACCCCACCATCAACTGGGCTCATGACCACCTCACATTCTCCTATTGCAGCATCTCTTGCTCGCCTCTATTTGCTTTTGGCCAAGGCTACAGTCTTGCCCCACCTACTGTGCCTTTGACCTCGATCACCACACTTTCATCAATGTCTGTCAGCTTAGGCCTCAGTCTATGCAACAACATGCTTCATTCTGTGATCCCAGATGCTGTCCACCACCTGAAACATCTGTGACATTCCAGAGGCATCACATCATCTGTGGCTGTTTTCTCCATCCCTCTTCTCTCATCTTGCCAACCTGTTCTTGGCTTTGGTCACCGGCAGATTTTCTCGGCACTCTTTTCTTCACCTGAAGATGCTCAGGCTCCATCTCCTGTCAGCATTTCTTTCATCAACTCCTCGCATTTCACTAAATATGCCAAGAATGACACTGCCGCTGCTATCTGGTACATGCCCACCTCTCATCTACATGATACCATCACCTCCATTGACACCTCTGCTCCTCCATTGTCTTCAAGTTCTGTCAACCTTCCTTCACCAGAGGCTCCTCTAATTTCTGACAAGTACCATCTGTGGGCCTCAGTCTTCTCTCCAACTGACATTGACCAACTACCTCCTCATCATCCATATGATATGGCTATTGACCTTGAAGAAGGCAAAACCCCTCCGTTCAGCCTGATCTATTCCCTTTCACAGACTGAATGTGCTGCACTGTTTGACTACATTGAAACCAACCTGAAGAAAGGTTTCATATGATGCTCTACTTCACTGGCTGCTTCTCCAATCCTGTTTGTGTGCAAGAAAACTGGGGAGCTGGATCTATATGTAGATTATCATGGCCTCAACTCTATTTTGAAGAAAAACTGCTATCCTCTTCCTCTCATTAATGATCTCCTCAACTGCATTCAAGGTTGCAAAATCTTCTCCATGCTTGATCTCAAAAATGCTTTCAACCTCATCTGCATTGGAAGGGCAATGAGTGAAAGACCACCTTCCATACTCATCTTGGCCTGTTTGAATACACCGTCATGCCATTCGGCCTCACTAATGCCCCTGCAACTTTCTAAGCCTTCAACCAAGACACACTGATATACATCAGAAAGCTCTGCACTCAGAAGCCCAACTGGAAGAGCAGCCGAGAACTGCACAACTTGTTAACACATATCTATCAAGTGGAACACTCCAGACAGAACAGCACGAGGACCTCTGACTCTGAAGAATCTGTGGAAGCAGTAAAATATCATGAAAGATCATACATGAGGCTCAGAGATGAGCCAGAACCCACACGCTAGCATCACTGATTATGAGAACAAAGGAGAAGAGGCAGAGCAGAACAATTTTGACAAGTTTGGAATGAGAGTGTGCTCTAAGTGAGAGAAGCACAGTGCAGCAGACCACTGGACCCTTGAGGGCCCATACCTTCCAGTTTTCTGACTGCAAGCGATAAGGAGGAGGAGGCAGAGAACGTCTTGGGACTGTTTCAGAGGATCAGAAACATCTTCTGCTACACTAGAAGACATTATTCTACACTTATATAATGGCTTGTGTACATAGCACAAAAACAACGAAGTGTTCACCCCTCAGTTCTCAAGTTCTACATTACCCTCACAATAGGATGGAGTGCCCTATTCAGTTCTACTAGTCTACCCTCAATACCAACACCTTGTTAGCTCCCGACACTGGCTAGGGCAGCACTCTCTTTAGTGGCCCACAGCACGACTCAGGAAGTGCCTTGATAAGTCACGTTATCATGTCCCATACTCACGCCACTAGTCATGAGCTTTAGCAACTCAGGTAACCATCCTCATTGGACTTCGTAGCTTCGACAAGCCCCAAACCTCATCTATAGTGCTGGAGAGCACAGTACAGATGTCTCAAAGATCTAGGGAGCACCCAAATCTCATCCATAGTGCTGGAGAGCACAGTATAGATGCCCCGAAGACCTAGGGAGCATCCAGACCTCATCCATAGTGCTGAGGAGCACAGTACAGATGCCTCAAAGACCTAGAGAGCACTAAAACCTCATCCATAGTGCTGGAGAGCACAGTATAGATGCCCAGGAGACCTAGAGAGCATCCAGACCTCATCCATAGGGCTGGGGAGAACTGCCTATAGCACTCAAAGTCAACAGCTTAGTCAGACAAAGGCCCACATCACCGCTCAATCCTCACACCTCTATACTTGCTCACTCGAGTCTCACTCTACCTACTCAACCCATCTACATGATCCACCCATCTCTCAACTTGTCCAGAGTCAGGGATACTGTCCTACACTGGGTGAAAAAATCAATAATTTGAGGTGAAAGATGGTAAAATATTGAAGAAAAAGTTCAAATCTTTTAAGCATCTTCACTGTCAATTTGTAATAAAAGTATTTAAAATATTTTTAACATCTTTTGTTGTGAAAGATGATGAAAAGATTGAAAGGAGATTGCATGAAATATCAATAATCATTTCTTCAATCATTTTACAACCTTTCATATAAAACTATGATGAAAAGTTTTAAAATCTTTTTTTACTTTTTTTTGATCAAAGATAATGAAAATATTGTGACTATGTCACACTCTTGTTTTCATATACTAAGCTAGTACTAAGATATGGAGGCTAATACTCAGAATTATATATTAGCACTATACTAATTCTATAGTCAGAAGAGTAATACTAAGATTCTAATGTTAGCAGTATGCTAATACTAAAATTTAAATACTAGTACTATGCTAGTATTAAGGTTTGAAGGTTAGTACTAAGCTAGTACTAAGGTCTGCAGAGTAGTGCTAAGGTTTGAAGGTTAGTACTATGCTAGCATTAAGCTAGTGCTAAAGTCCAATTGTTAGTACTATGCTAGTACTATGCTAGTGCTAAGCTCTGAAGGGTTAGTACTATGTTAGCACTAAGGTCCGAAGGCTAGTACTAGCATAGTACTAGCATAGTATTGATCTCTAGATGTTAGCACTGGCTTAGTACTAGCGAAGTACTAGCGTAGTACTAACCTTCAGACCTTAGTACTAGCATAGTACTAGCATTCAGATCTTAGTACTGGCTTGGTACTAGTGTAGTACTAGCATTCAGGCTTTAGTACCAGCTGAATGCTAGCATAGTACTAACCTTCAGACCTTAATACTGGCATAGTACTAGCATTTAAATCTTAGTATTAGCATACTGCTAACATTGGCATCTTAGTCTTACTCTTCTGACTATAGCACTAGTATAGTGTTAACATATAAACCTGAGTATTAACCTCCATATCTTAGTACTAGCTTAGTATATGAAAACAAGGGTGTGACATAGTCACAATATTTGCATCATCTTTGATCAAAAAAGAGTGAGAAAAGATTTTGAAACTTTTCATCATAGTTTTGTACGAAAGATTGTAAAATGATTGAAGAAATGAATATTAATATTTCATGCAATCTCCTTTCAATCTTTCATCATCTTTCACAACAAAAGATGTTAAAAATATTTTGGATACTTTTATCACAAATTGACAGTGAAGATGCTTAAAAGATTTGAACTTTTTCTTCAATATTTTTACCATCTTTCACCTCAAATTATTGATTGCTTCACCCAGTGCCTGAAAATGACACTTCCAGCACATAAAACACATTCCAAAAGTTCTGACCTTGCAGCCATGTTATTCTCATCGATTCCATCTACAGATGTATACAAAAAGATGCCCCGGGTGAGGATCGAACTCACGACCTCAGGATTGCAGTTCCTAGTTAGAACCTCATATAGCATATGAGACCTGCGCTCTAACCAACTGAGCCACCAAGGCTTGCAAAAGTTGCATATAAGTTAAATATAATACAAGATCTGTTTGCTTTGACCAACATAGACGCTCATCGGCCACTGGCCTCATGGCCCGCTTGCCCTCCGCGGATCGATCTTCCAACTACCTACTTCCGGGTCACTTCCGGGTCACTGCCACACAATCGACATCTCGCTCTCCCCTTTGTCGTTGCATCGCTCGCTTCTGACCTCCTTTAGACTTGTTCTTGCCCATAGGGCCATTTCGCGTGGTTGGTTCAACCACAGCAATACAACAATCCATTACGACTAAGACCACCACCGACGAACACCGCATGAATCTTCGCAAGCGCGAGGCCCCTGAACCACTTCTTCCTTTACGCGCCGCCAAACAACCACGTCTGTCCAAGAGTAACGCATACGGTGATACTAGCAGCGCAAACCAGATGGAGGGCCTCCCAGCGCGGTGGATGCGATTGGGTATGGACTTCGTAACCCTCACGCTGGAGACTGCGAGATCCACATGGAATTCTGTCTCCTCGCTCTTACAAGGTGAATGGTGTTGTAGTGTAGTGTAACTTACTCAATACTTATGCTGGAATAACAGGAACCGATGATGCATTGTCTGCAACTAGCCCTTTTTGTCCATCCTCCGCGTCGAAAGCGGGCACGGCAAATCAGTCTTCATCTTCGAACAAGGTATCCGAAGAACTATCGGAATATTTGGTCATCGCCCGTTCACAGCCAACTTTATGCCCTCCTCCGTCGGGGCGAATGTCATTGCGCATTCCGCTCAAACCCAGAGTTCGTGGGACAGCACCAGCGTTCACGGATGCGGCAATATCATCCGCAAAAGGACTGCAAGGAGCAGAGAATCCCGCGTCATTCACAAAGGCCGATCATATACCGCCGCCACAAACGGGTGAACGTCTCTCGTCGCCACAAAGTCGCACTGTCCCGGAACATCTTCAACAGCAACTGCCCTATAACGCCACATTTCAGGGCCAGAAAACTTCAAACCGTCCGACATTCATTGAAAGACCCCATATATTGCAAAAACGAGTTCGTGTTCCCTCTTGAAATTGCGTTGATGTCACACTGACAATATGGATGGCTGCAGTACAAGGAGAACGTGGCAGAGAAGACCAAGCAGGATAGAGACGCGATGCTGAGGGAGTTGTTCGAGGTGGAACGGCAAAAAGGTATGTTTGTCGATGACGTGCTGTGACATCGCTCAGTGTCCTGTGCAGACCGCTCTGCCGACTTTGATACATTCAGAGGTACGTCGATGTGGTGGGCTTCGAGCCGTTTTTAATAGCTTGTCCACAGGCCTCATGGATTATGCAGAACATGTAGATCGACAAACTCTCACTGGCATGCTTTCAAGTATGTGTTCGACGCATTCATGTTGGCAAAAGTCTCACATTCAGTCTCAGCGTCGGCGTCCATGGCTGACCTTCGTGAGAGGTCAACGTCATCTCAGATGGAGCACAGGTATTCGCTCGACGATGTCAGTGTACCTGTCGCAGTTGCTTGTTCTGATCACTGAAGTATACTTTCAGGATGTTCTAAGACATCATTTGGATAAAGCAAAGGCTACATTGGCAACGTTCGTCCTTTCTTTTGAACATGTGTTTGCCCTGAGCTGATCCACTGTGTTAGACCACCTCCTCAGCCGTTTGTGCCTACGCAAGCGATCCTTGCCGCCAAACAAAGACGAGACAAAGATGAACAAATAGAGCGCCGCCTAGAGAAAGTTCGGCCTAAAGCCCCAAAAATCCCATCACGACTGCCACCCGAGGACGACCGTGCGGTGGATGCACTGCTGAAAAGGAAAGCGAGGATCATTGGCAAAGGTGGTGCTTCCAGAGGGTCTCATACCGACCTGGCATTGCTATGTCCGGCGGAGTGGCTCAATGACGAGGTTATCAATACCTATGGAGAGATGATCATGGCTCGTTCGCAAGCTGCCAAGGAGAATTTTGGCGCCGGTAACACAGGCGGAGAGAGAATGGTCGACTTGCACTTCTTCAACTCTTTCTTCTTCACGAAACTCCAAGGTGGCTACAAGAAAGGGAACATCGGGAAATGGTCGAAGAACGTGAGTTCGCGATCTGACATCATCTACCTAACAGTCCCTGAACGCTTGCTAATAAATGTAGTTTGATCTCTTTGAGAAGGAGCTCATATTGATGCCGGTCAATCACGGCAATTCGCACTGGACGGCAGCTGCAATTGACTTCAGACGGAAGCGCATAGAATCATACGACAGTCTGCGTCTCGCGGGTGAGCCGCTACGCCATCGAGAGGTTTTCAAGGTGAGTTTTGTAACGTCATAAGTCTATCGGACTTTTTTTATGCTCCGCAGCGTTTGAGGGAGTATCTCGACAACGAGCACCGTCACAAGAAGAACATACCTTTCGACTTCACTGGCTGGGTAGACTACCATCCAGGAGTGCGTTCACACCATCAGTGTGATGCTCACGCTCACATGTTTTTCCAGGAGGATGAAGCGCCTCGGCAAAACAATGGTTTTGACTGCGGTGTCTTCACCTGTCAGGTTATGGAGAGCCTTTCGAGAGACATGAAATCTTTCCACTTCAGACAAGAGCACATGCCGTATATGCGGCGACGAATGATTTGGGAGCTCGGCCATGGAAAATTGCGGGATGATTTAATCTAGAGTGCGATGTCTTCACGTCCCTTCGGGTCCATTATTCTGAGTTATTTGCTGACAAAGTATCTCCTGGTGATCTTTCTTCGTTGATAGTCCTGTATTCGTTTCGTCAACTGTACTATACCAATCAAAGGATGGGCGATGTGTACCATTATTCAGCTTTTGTTGTGCGAGTAAGATCTGCGTCTCAGCATGATGTTCTAGCAGTGACACCAACCCCGATGCTCGGCCTTGGTTGCTGTACCAATTGAAAATCCCCAAAGTCACAGAAGGTGAACATCTGATGGGAAGCAATAGCGCATTGCACCGATAGAATGAATACTGCGTGTATATGCGAGACCGGAGCGACAGCGTAGCTTGTAGATGTCATCGTCGTCGAAACCACCAGACTATGATGAAGAACCAAAAGACGATTATGAGAAATACGATATACCACAGCCACCGGCAGCCCTGACGGGTAGCCATGTTGTTCATCCGCCGAAAGGTGCCAGATAGGATGCCAGATGTCTCGGCAAAGGCGTCGTTCTATGACTGTTAGTCAGCCACTCTGCAGGGAATGCGGCAGGATATCAGGCTCCGCACCATGTGTGTGAGCTGGATGGTCGAGTCGCGCACTTCGTTGCCGATACCAATCGTGATCTAGCAAGTTATGAACATGATAGTTTGAGCGCATATGCCTCGACAGGGAGGTTGCAGCGTTACTCACGTCCTTCAGCATCTTCACCTTGGCAGTTAGCCCCTCGAGATGCTCGTCATTCTGACCCTCAAGATCATCTGCAAACCGTTGACCGCCCGGCTGGAGATGGAATGGGGAGGACCGTCCCGACGCCGGTGGAGTGTAGTACTCGGGAAGAAGCGCCGAGCGGTCGCGCAGGGAGGCCGTTGCCCTGAATCTGATGAGGATTTAGCCATCAGGAGGAACATTCAAGGTCCAAAATGTACCGCTGCGACATGTCGAACCGGCAGACCAGCTAGCCTCATGGAAGAAGAGAAAACTCAACGCGTCCGAGCCTGAGCTCCTGGACGTTCACTTATAGACGCCACCACGTCGTCGTTCCACGTCGATCGTATGATCGCACACAATTGATGGTGCAGAGGTCTCGGTGAGAAAATGGTGTTGTTGCATTTGATGATCCTGAGCTATCAATACAGCAGCGCAAGATCGTACTATCTCCGGGACAATGGCAACATGTAGTACTAATAGGCGAGGACGTCGCGGATCGCAGCGACCATGTAGTATGTGACAATATGTAAATAGCTGCACCCGAATGAAGACCAGCAACAACCGATCGGGCGCGGCGAGTGTATGTAACCGTCGCGAGAAGACGGCAATAAAGGCGGTGTCAAGCAAGGGGACGAAGGGTCAAACGTGCCGGAACTAAGTAATGCAGGCGAATAGGTACGAATGCGTTTGAATGATGCGTCCGCGTACTCGCTGAAGAGATGATACATGTGCGTGAGTACAAGTCCGCGAGCCCCAAGAATAGCATGGAAGCCCTTATTCGATGCTCATCCGGTTTGGATGGCCACTCATTGGACCTCGGTAGAGGTCCTGGGATTTGCCGCGCCGTGCCATATTCTCGCTCTTGGACACTGTTGCCAGCCCTTGGTAAGGAACATTTTATATGGAGCAGATAGCGACTCACTCTGGTTCGCCAAGCCTCGCCCAAAATTGTTCCTGACCATCCACGCAAAGACGGATGTCGTAATCAACAGAATGGTTGCAATCACCGCTGTGGTTAACGTGAGCAGGTTACCCGCACATACGGTGAGCTTACATACAGAATATCGTCAGTGTCTTCCAAACAAAAATGTAGGTGGCTGTTTTGCGCAAAAGCAACACTTTTACCAGCTAGAGGTTGCGGCGAGCCCGGATCAGCTCTGTGATCGATGACCAACAGAACTGGGACTGACCTTATACATAAAGTATACCAACGCTCCTAAACAGCCCGTCATGAAGATATACATCATCCACTTGTTTTCACGGCGTGCTGCTATGTGACCGTCGATGAGGACGAGTATCGACACAGGGAAAGCTAGGCACGTGAGGTAGTACTCCGTGTTGTGCTTGCTCAGAACCAACCAGATGAATTGCACAGAGAACCCCACCCAGAAGAACAGGTCGAACTTGACCAGACAGAGGAAAATTTGGTAGTATGCGTACATGGCTCTGATCCGGCGATCAGCACCAAGGTACTTGTACACTTTCCAACCAAATTCCTTGTAGATCTTCCAGCCAAGAGCAATGTATGCAAGTTCCGCGACGGAGATGATGATAGGAATGATCATGGTGAGAGCATGAATGGAGATAACGGATGTGCTTTCCGAAATCGAGGTGCTGTCAATTTCGCCGATCTGAACGATGGCATAGAACAGAAACAATGCATTGAAAATGCTGCGAAGATGGCTTAGAATCTGCAAAGAACCCAAAGAAAAGAGATAGAGATAACTACGTTAGGGCAATGAACTGCAAAGTGTTTTGGGCATATACGGCATCCAGAGCCATCCCGAATTGAAACACGCTGATGTATGTCCATTCAGAGAACGACAGTTGGTGAGAGTACAAAAACACGTACTGAGCCATGGCAAAGATACTGAGATAGATAGGCATCTTCTTAGATTCTTGGAAGTTAGAGCTCGTGGCCGTCGAGTCCTGGAGGCGAATGAACAGTTCCGCCTCTATTGCCAAATCTATTGCCGTCTCAACGAGAACAGTCAATAGATATAGGCGACAAGCAATAGAATCTGGTATGAACTGGACAACGTGGATCATCGTCTCGCAGTGGAGGGCTTCACAGGTAGTTCACGTACTGTTTGGCGCACTACTTCCAACCAGTCTTTGAGCTCCGGCTTTGCCACCTCGGCATTGGTGGCTGGTGGAGGATATTCCCAGTCTAATTGCTGTGCTGTATGCCCGTCAAGGTCCTTCACGTCCTTCAGAGATATTTCACTGTAATTAGACAGTTGCTGAGTGAGGGGGTAGAGTGGGACAGGCTCTTGATTGTCTGTGCGACCAGCATCGGCGGGAACGGAAGTGGTATACGCCTTGTAGGTCGCATACTGGTCGATGAGGTCGTCATAAGAAGCCTTACCGTCCGCGTCGAGCCGCGGAGATAAGTGTGTGGGGTCGGTGGAAAGAGCGGGGTGTGCATTGTGTTGCGATGACATGATAAAAGAGTGACTCAAGCAGAGTGCTTGGGATAGTCGTCCTGCGAACAAAGCCTGTGGGGGGAGACCGGGATATAACCGTCGATAACGATGAGTCGAGTTACCAGACGAGTGAGGGGAGCATCTCAGACCAGATGCGAAACGAGCTTCTGCCTCGCAACTGCGTCGCATTCGTGTTTGCCGCAGTTTGCCAGGTGGCTGCCTCCCTTGCGACGGCCTTACAGTTACAGCGTCCGCCATTTCTCCACCTTATCGTCCTTGGTACCTTGTTCTCGTCACATATGTGTTGCATTGTCCTGCACGATCTTCCGTTGCGCTCAACACCATCCTTTTGGCCTCACCTGCCGGCCTCGTGGGGCTTTCATTGTGCGATCTGTGCGGTGGCTTGAATGAATGTATCCAGTAACATTTCCAAGTAGACATTTATACACAGCTTGCAAATCGACAGCAGAAACACAACGCCAAAACAAGAATGACGGCAGAAACTCGATGGTAGTGCCAGAAGTTCTGATAGATCAGTGACTATTTACGTCGAAGATGCGTAGCCCTAGGAGCTATCCGTGTCGGTCGACGATCCCGTCTCGTCGCCTTCGACGTCTGGCAAGGTAGCTCAGTATTCATCACGGCATAAGGCGTCACCAAAACACACTCACCGACGAGATAGTCTGGCTCCGGCATCCGGATGATCGGAGGCGGAGGCGGCGGTCGTGGAGGACTGAGCCGTCTCGGCGGCGCTGGCGGCGGCTTGCCATTTCTACCTCCCTTTGGCTTCTGCACCTTGCTTGCGGCGAGCGTCGGGCTCTGCATCGAAGGAGCAGATGCGAGGGTGGATACAGACCGGGCGGGGGAGGAGTACCGAGAGGGCGACTCTGGCGAGGACGAGCGCCGATCGCGGTTAACAGACGAGACGATGGAGGATTCGCGGAGTTTCGAGGGCACTCTTGTGAGCGAACTTGATGGTGGAAGTGGGAGAGACTTGACAATGACAATAAACGTCAGTATGCTAGTATGCAAGACGGTCGAATACCTACGTTTGTGGATGGAGAACCTGGCACGTCGGTGTCCCCTTTTACGCGTGAAATGGGCGAGCCTGCACTGGAACGTAAAACTGGTGTAGAATCCATTTAAACGATGGCCTCACCTGTGGTCTTCGCTTTCTTCGACTTCTTCGTCGGAGAAAGTGTTGGAGAGCCGGGCTAACACATGATCAGCTGACATTAATTTGACTCGTGGAAGCAGCACGAACCCGTTTTCGGTGCAAATTAAACTCAGCTTCGTCTGAGCACAGATTTTAGAAAATTGGTGATAGCTGTGTGGCGGGGACAACTTGCCTGCTCGTTTGGTTCTTGACTTTGCCTTGTTTCTACCGGATGTAGTGGTCTTGCCATCGTCCGACAGCGCTCCGTTCTCGGAAGCAACGTATGGCGATGCCGATCTGCCAGCATCAGAAGCCAGCCTAAAGATATTGGTGAACCTCTTGGTCGCTATGGTCTGCCACGACGTACTTAGTCTTCGTCGTGGCACTCCTAACAGCACCCCTGCGCGAGTTGGCCAGCCCCATGCAATCGCCAAGATGTGAGGCATAACGGTTCGAGGCAATCTGCAAAGGCTCATAAGCCGGCTGTTAGGCGCGTTGTGCGCGTCACGGCTACCTGTCGTTTGCAATTGACACATTCCAGCAGGATGTTGCCGTTGCTCTTGCCATTCGTTGGTGTGCTCATTCCAGTTCCAGCTGGGCTGTTTTGATCTGTGGCCTTGGCTTCATCTGAAGGTGTGGGCAGTCGTGAGGAGGAAGCCGCAGGTTGGGAAGCGGTACCGGAAGGACCAGACGTATGGGCTGCATTCACCAGTGAGAAGTGCAAGTCACGTCATGAGAGATACGTACCTGCTTTACAGCTGGAGTAAGGAACACTACATGAATTGTGGCGATGACGAGGGCGATGTGGCCACTCACTAAGTATGGCACACTGGGCAAACGGTCTTCGAACGCGAGATCGCCTGGTGTGACTCGAGGACAACGTCCATCAAAGTCTCCTCCACCATAGTGGAGAATATCCGCGAGGCCTAACAAGCGTCGTCACGTCCAGACGAATCAGCAACGCGTGAATACTCACGAGCTCTGCGAGGACCTCATCGCGTTCCTTTTTTGGCATCGCACCGCGTCCGCACTGCAAAGTGCATGTACTTCCCGCAAAAAAGGTATTCCGCTCCGACGCAAGACGATGAGAACGGGAGGCCTCAAGCGAGGCGAGCAATGGTCGCTGCACGGCAGCAGGGTAGGCAGGATTGGACCCCGCACTCGATCGTTGTACAGGCGGTATCCACGTGATGGCCGATCCGAGACTGTGGCGTCGGCGTCTGCCAGCTTCGCGGCGCATCGGGCATTTCATTTAGTACGCCGCGGCGTTGTAGTACTCTCAGTTGCCACTTACCAGGTCCTCACCCTCGGGCTTCACAGCTTGGCAAGTAATATTTGTGTCAAACAGCGAATCAACATTGTCAGAACTGCATAGCAGCTGTTAGGTATACGTGGTATACGAGAGTAGAGATTATCATAACGGATCCATGAGTCCACTTTTACCTACCCGAGAGTCGAGAAGCAGTGAACACACTGAGAATCACCACCGCCAGCGCAGTTATGCTCGCAGGCAACAATAACTCCTTCGGAATGCCCAGCACCTTCTCTTCCTCGGCGGCGGCCTGCACTGGACGCGGAGGCGTGACGTTCGTTACAGGCTCCGGCAGAACCGCATCCACCTTATCGGCCTCCCTGAGCTCCCTGAGCTCGCGCTCCATCGCCGCCGCGACTTCCGCAGCCTGAGCGCTCTTCTCTGCCATCACCTCCGCCCATCCTTTCCCTCCCTGGATGAACAGCACCACACGATCCGCTCCCCCAGCTCGCGCGATCTTAACTGCATCAGATACGTCCGAGTCGGACGTAATGAGCACAATGTCACCGTCCGCGTCGGTATATGACAACAAAAAGTCTGTCGGGTCCGGAGGCGGCTCCAGCGGGTCCCTGCTTCTGTAGTTCGTAAAGAACGGATCGGTAGCGAGTTTTCCGCCAACGATATCGCGCAGGTTCTCTACATTGTCGTGCCGCGCCTGGAACCGGTGTGTACGGCCGCTGGGTGTGCGGAACTTGAAGACATACGTCCCGTCATCTACAGGCGGTGCGGGCGTAGTTGGCCCAACGATAGATGGCAGAGGCTCCCCGTTTCTCCTGGAGTAGCCCTCAAGTGCAGAAGACGCATCATCATCCACAGCCGAGGCCGAGTCGTTCGGGTGCACCTCAGACTGCGGTGATTGGAGAATTTGGGACGTGCTCCGATTTGTGTGACGGATCTGCAGCTCGCTCGGGAAGTTGGACCCAGAGATGGCGGATTCGGTGTCATCGAGAGACTCGAAGAATCGACCCCACAGTGGCCCAGTCTGATCTTCACGTTCTACTGCTGCAGCTTCTGCAGAGATCGCATTCATCTATCGATCCGTTATGTTAGCGAGCTACTTTGAAAACCGCGCGTGTACGCACCTGCTCGAGCGTTGCATAGGTCAGCTTGAGCACGTCCACAATTGCCACCAAACGTCCATCCTCCTCGACAACTGGTAAGTTAAGGTAGTGACCGTCTGCGAGAGTCTGTATCAGCAGCAATTTTGACAGCATCGAGATTGCAACTTACTGTGCATCTTCTTGAGCGCGTCGTGGCAAGTCATGGTAGGAGGAGCAGTATCGGGGTGGGGGGTCATCACACGCACAACACTACACCTGCTCGCATCCAGCCCTGCTGCGATCACACGCAGCACGATATCCTTGCTGGTGAAGATACCAGCGATCTTCGGCTCGTGGTCGACCACGCCAGGTCCATGTGGCCCTATCTCCATCACGCACACCGCCGTCGTGCGACGCTCCTTCATGAGCTTCGCCACCTCCCGCACGGTAGTCTTCGGGCCGACAGTGGCAGGCTGCGTGCGCGAGTCCATGACGGACGTAAGATCTGGGAGCGCGGTCTTCTCACGGAGTGCTTCCACGTAGGACAACATGGCGGCCGCTTGTGGGTTCGCGCCTATGTTCGCGCCGAGCTCGGACTGAACGCCCGCGAGCGCGGTGTAGAGTTTCTCAGAGGCAGAGGAGCTGCGCTCTACCTTATCCAAGGCCTCATGAAAGACCTTGGTGATATCCAGTAGGCCGACAACATTGCCCTCTTCGTTACACACGGGCTGACCACGGGAATATTAAATTGCACGTTCGTGCGAGCGCGACGGCGGGCACGTACCAAATGCCTGAAATGCCGTTGGACCATAAGTTGAAGAGCCTCCGTAGCACTCGTCGTATCGCGCGTCACCATCGGATTTTTCGTCATGATCGTGCTGACCTGGGTCGTATGAGGGTCCAGACCGTCCGCGGCGACCTAGAATGCCATATCAGTGTCCGTGTCCCGCCGACTGTGCGCACGCACAGGCGAAGTTTACGCACCCGGTACGCCAGGTCCTTTGCGGTGAAAATTCCACTGAGGCCCTCATCGTCGTCGACGACAAGCACGCAATCAGTCCGCTTCGCCGCGCAGAGCTGACTAGCGTCCGCGACCGTAATGTTCTCCGGGACCGTCAGAGCGGGACTGGGCTTGAGCGCAGCGACGGTGCCCTTCTGCGCATTCGACTTATGTCCCCGCCTGCGATTCGAGCTGTGCGGGGCGGTGGAGATAGCACGCTTGCGCGACAGCTCAGACTCAATCTTCTTGCGGATAGCCTGCGGGCCATGAGTAGAGTCAGTACGTGTGTGCGTATTGGCCGGCCTGTGCCGCTGAGCGGCTGGGCCGGGTTGTGCGGAGAGTGGCTCGGTAGCGAAGGTGACGGTCTTGCGCATCGTGCACGGAGGGCAGACAGTACACGTGTAGACCGCGCACAGAGATACCCTCCTCATGGGCTGCTTGACGCTATCGCGTCTCAGACCAGAAGACTATCTTTCTCACCTCATCTCTCTTTGACTGCTTCTTGCGCGTCTCTGCCAGGGAGTTAGATACGGTGGACATGGCGGCGGATGACTGGGGCCTCTGGGAGACACCTGGAAGAGGCGAGGTACCGCGTTCGGGGAAGGAGACGGGAGATTCTGGACGTTGTTGAGCACCTGGAGCGCGATGGGAGGAGGGAGGGTGATGAGATGGCACTGGAATGCGTGACATTTCACAAACGGTTTGCTGCACGTTCCGTCCCGATTCGAATTCTATCAAGTCCGCGCTAGCCAATCTGGACAGCCGCCATTGTGTTGTCTTCTGTTTGCCGCACGGCGACTGCCTCTCACGATCATTTAGCAGCCTCGGTGGTAGTCAAGGCACGCGCAAGCGAGCGTTTCAAATCAGTGCATTTATCATTAAAGCAACACTGGTACACACTAGCATATAGTCATCAACCCAAGCAACAGTCAGTAGCGAAGAGAGTAAGATACAAGAGCCTGCAACGTCGTACCAGAGGATGATCAACAGTATGAAACAGCTGGTAAGAGCGGTTTCGCTTGATTGCAGGTAAGGAGTAAGCGGCCATGTACCATTTTACTGCGCCTTCCTCGTCCCCCTTGCGCCACCTCCTCTCACAGTGTACCAATAGTACACTCCGCCAATGAGCAGCAGCGCCGTGAAGATGAAGTGGGCTGATGAACTCGCTCAGCATACACTGACGACGTGAATCTTGATAAGACGCACTTGTGAAAAACCCAAAGATAGTTTGGAATAGGTCAATCCCAAACCCAACGACTGCGTGCACGAGCTGCAAGACGCCGTTCAGGAGCTCCTGGCCAAGTGCGAGGAAGAATTGAAGCACGGCCAGCGCAGAGTTTAGGAGCGACGTGCCGATGGCGGCGAGAGCGTGCATCAAATCGGTAAGGGCTGCGGTGAGTGAAGCCATGAGATGAACGTTGTGGTCAAAGAGGTGTTAGGAGCTTGTGGGGTCCACAGGTGCTCATTTCCTAGGGCCACAGTAGACGCATGACGTCACCGGCAGAACTCGCAGCGAACAAACACAAGCCTGCATTGTGCTCAGTAGACATCCAGATAACATTGTCATCAGTAAATCTAGAGTGCTCATCGTCCACCAAGCCGTCAATCGACCAGCCTTATCAACGCAACAAGCAAATATAGTTATGGTATACACCGCACGAACCAGTCATTTCTTTACTGCCTCCTCGCACCAGCACCCGCCGCGTTCGGTGGCACGAACGTGCTCCCGACCCAGCGAAATAGCACCGCCTTGAACTGATCCCACGCGTACACAATCATCGAATTCGTCGTCGGCTTGCGAACGTAGGCTTCCACGTATGAATTGATTTGCCCGATGGACGCCTGGGTAAACTTCGACTGGTGGTAGCGCGCACGAAGGAAGTGAGCGAAGATGATCGGAGCGATCAGCGAGTTGCGGAATGTCAGTGCACCCAGAAACACGCGAAGCATTATCACCAGCTCGGTGTATGCAACAATCCTCATCGCAGTATCGTAGTTAGCTATCACCACGCGCCGCATATCAGCAACCTCAATGCCGAGAGCCGATGACAAACCACGCACCTTTGACCCACATCTGCAGCCTCTTCTGCGCGGGATGAGGAGTAGGGGTACCACCAGCGGTGGCCGGAGGGCCTTGGGGAAAGATGCGCGGCATCAAGGTCGTACGCGTAAATGTCAAAGCATGGAAGAGTGAAAAGATCGTGTATGGCACCAAAGCAACTGAACAACAGCACCATCAATCACATCTGCTACCAACGACCATCATCGGAGTAAAGCCACGTACGCGTAATCGGCTTCGACGTCCACCAGAAGAAAGCAAGCAGCAGATATTGCACATTCTGCACAACCACGTGAATCAGGTGTTGATGGAGGAGAGCCACGCTCACGAACCTCATCAATCATCGCACGGTTGATGTACGCCAAAGTAGGTTGCGGGGTCTGCGCCTGGAAATTCAGCGGCGCCTGTGTGATTGGTCGTCATGACTCACCCCTAGGGACTTTCTAGAGAAGTAAAAGCATGAAGAAACGAACGGCAACGTGTGCATAACGACACTCACTGGCAAACGATAGCATAGCTCAGGAGCGCACCCGTGAAGCTAGCTGCACATCGCGTCCCGAAGCCGCCCGTCATTCTCCTGCTTCAATCATTCAAGAAACACAGCTCTCACTCTTGTACCACCACGCCGACACGCCCCTAAACAACACCTTCGCTAAAAAGTATCGCAACGAAGATACCAGCAACATAAAGTGGCCAGCGGCCCACAAGTAGTGCTGCCCCCAACGGCGCGTCAGTGCCAGTCCCGCACGCGAACCGACTGAATTACCTGAGTAGCCATCGCCTCTGGAGTAGCTGGAGGATGTTACGGATAGAGTGCAAGTGGGTTCGAGTTGTTGCTGTGCGCGACTTGGGGCAGCGCCGCAGGAGAGTGACGCACTCCACGCTGTGCTTTAGGGCAGGGTCGGGGCCACCCGCGCATTTTCGGGCGCCTCTCGCTACACCACGCCGGAGCGGTGTCCATTCAAGCAGGAGACAGCATGCATCCGGAAACATGTAGCAACACACAATGAGGGCATGTAAGATCCGCAGGCACACGCAGCCCGCACGAGAGGAGGAGCGAGCATGTAAAAGGTGGAAGAAAGAAGAAGAAGAAACGACCGCCAGCTATTGTCAACGACTCCATTGCGCCGTCCCCGCGTCCTTCTTCCTTTCCCGCCCCTTCTTGTACACCTCCTTCTCGACCTTCCGCGAACCTAGTGTCTCCTTCCTCCTCTCCCTCCCACCTCCACGCCTCTGACTTCTCCATACTTCTTCGTCAGCGTTTTCCTCCGCCTCAGCCTCGCTGCCATCCTTGTCCACCGCATCGATCTCCTCCCACTTCTCATTCTCCTCGTCGTCCTCGGGTCGCTTGCGCTTCTTCCCTGATCGCCCTGTCCCGCCTGTCCCACCGCCGATATTCACGTTCACACGCGGCGGGACTGAGAATCCGAACGCCTTGCCCACCTTTGCGAGGTCGAGCTGGTTTATGTCGAAGATCTTCTTTAGCGAGTAGGATGCGTATGCCTGCAGATATGATCGGTATCCATCGCGTGCCGACTGGTGCAGGAAGTAGTTCTTCTGTAGTAGCTTCTCAAGCTGTCATCGAATAAGAGGAGAATCGCACGTTCCATGAGTAGCTTGACATACCTGTGACTGCACATTCGCAATCTTTTCCGCCGGGAAGCTGAACTCATTCAGAGGGACTTTCGCATCTTTCAAGTACCGTAGGAACCCAAGCTCGCTCGGCAGCAGGAACATCAAGCTTTTCCCTACCTTGCCCGCACGAGCAGTTCGACCGACTCGATGGATGTAGTCACGCGGGTCGTCTGGCGGGTCGTACTGGATGATCCAATCCACTCTCGGGATGTCTAGTCCTCTGGCAGCGACGTCCGTACATAGCATAGTTCCCTGTTGCGCATTGCAGAACTCAAAGAACGTTGTCGTCCGCTTTTGTTGTTTTTGCTTTCCCTGCAGGGGCTCTGATTAGCAGATACGCAGTAGATGAGACATTGCACAAGATACGCACGTGAAGATCGAGCACAGGAACATCGATATAATTTAGTAGCTCTGCGTAATACTTGACTGAATTACAGCTAGAGAAGAAGACGACGATCTTTTTGGACATATTCCGTTTGAGGAAGGTATATAGCAGAAGGAAGCGTCGATCTGACGGACACACGACATATCCTTGTGATAGTGTGGTGACGGTACTTGTCCGTTCTTCCTTGTCGACATCGATATATAGGGGTCCTGGACGTAGTGAAATTCTTGCAAGATCGGTGACCTTGGTCGTTTGTGTAGCAGAAAAGAGCATCGATTGGCGGTCCTCTGAGAAAATGCCATCAACAATGCGGGCTGCCATGAAGAAGACATGACGCACCGTTCGGTAGGATCTTGATAATTCTCTTCATCTCCTCCTCGAACCCAACCTCCAAGATCCGATCTGCTTCGTCAATCACCAGTGCTTTCAGGTTCCGGAATATGAATCCTTTGGTATTCTGCAATGCACTTCCATCAGCCACTGATATATTATGTTTAAGTCTTTTTACATACCTCAAGGTGATCGAGTAGTCGACCTGGCGTAGCGACGAGCATGTTCACACCTTTCTGCAGCTTCTCCGCCTCCGCCCTTCGATTTGCACCACCCATGACGATGCCAAACGTTTGTGAATGATGCACCATAAGCTCCTTCGCAACACCAAAAATTTGCAGCGCTAGTTCACGCGTCGGCGAGACAATGACGATTCCAGTGCCTGTGACCCATAGCTTAGCACACAGCTCGAAGCACCACGCGTGCAGCACGCCGACAGCGCGACCACCGCTCGTAGCATGAGCAGTGGGGCACACATCACTCACCATTCCGCGGCTTGAACTTCATCCTATGCAGCAACTCGACTGCCGGAATCAAGAACGCCAACGTCTTTCCCGAGCCGGTGCGCGCTGCGCCTAGCACATCCTTCCCTGCGAGCAGCGGTGGGATGCTTTTCTCTTGCACTGCAGTCATCGTTGTGAAGCCCATCTCGGCGAGGGCCTTGCTCGTCGGCTCGGACAGCTCGAGCTCAGAGAAGGGCTTGCGCCCAGGGCCATTATCGGCGTTGGGCACGGGGACAGGCACGGCTACCTCTTCCGCGGCCATGATCTCGCTGATTGAGAAGGGAATATAGCTGTACTCTTGTGAAGACTTATAGAGAGACACACCGAGAGAGCAGGAGACGAGCTAAACAGAGAAAAGCTCAAAGCAGAGGACAGACAACGGCGAGTGATAGTGAACACAAAATGTGCAGAAAGTGCGCGCTCATTGGTTCGGCATGTCCCGGAACTCGTTATGTCTTCCTCCCTCTCCGTGTCTCAAAGTCAGTAATTCGTTGCAACGACTCGCGGATGTTCTCTCCTTATTGAACTGCTATGAACAGTTGCCACTGCTGTTGCGCTCGTGACGTCTTTCTCGGTTGGGTATGCACTTGGTGTGAAGTCGGCCGCAGCATCTTCATCCAAACACAAGCCAGGTCAAAATGCATCCTCTGCAGATGCGTCCGCCGTCCAGGAAGCCATCAAAGAGGACAGCGAGGATGAGGGCAATGCCGCCGATGGGGACTTGTCGGCTGTCAAGCCTGGCTTCATGGAGCCTTGCAAACTGGTATGATGCTCGACTGACCGACTCTCCACCCGACTGACCGACTCTCCACCCGACTGACCGACTCTCCACCCGACTGACCGACTCTCCAACCTAACGACGGACAGGTATTAATTGTTCGTACTGATCTCGGCATGACACCGGGGAAGATTACTGCACAGTACGTTCTATGGTTACGTCTGTCTCTACCGAATTGAATAATGTGCCTAGGTGCGGGTAGGTTAATTTCACGCCTTTCCCCAATGCCAGTCCCCACATTCGCAATTATAGGCACGCAACGTTAGCGTGTTACAAAGCCCTTCTACGGACAAATCCTCGGGTAGTCCTTCCTGATGTAACCGGATTGAGCAAACGCTGAACATGTGCACAGCTTCTGACACATTGGGAGCGTACAGGGTGAGGTCATGTTCCTGCGATTGCTCACGAGACGTGACTCAACTAATTGTCTCCAGACAAGCGAAAATTGCTCTGAAGGCGAACTCCGAGGACGAACTGCTCAAACTGGAGGCCAGTGCCAAAAGCCTGAACTTGTGCGCCCGCGCGATCCATGATGCGTAAGTTTTGACGAGTGTCAAATTGTTTGAGTGGATTTTTGACGTGTTTCACGTGCAGCGGGCGGACCCAGATTGCGGCGGGCTCTTGCACGGTACTTGGTATTGGACCCGGTGAGTGCGGCCGACGCTGAGGGCGTACCCTGCTGATTTATTGGTCCCCTCAGGACCGGTCGGATTGGTGAACCGGGTAACGGGCAAGCTACGACTGCTATGAAGTGGCTACGTGATGTAAAATGAGTCTATTACGGGAAATGTGGACCGTGGTGTGCTCTCTTGAATGAATGCTTTTGACTCTGTTGTGATGGCCAATTAGATGCATCAATGTATTCGACAGCAATATTATAACCGATTGACATGACCGGTATTGCTTTGGATTGAGTGTATGTTCTGGAGGATTCGGGGTTGGAAGAGAGGTGTGACGTCAATGTGACAAGTGCCTGATATGGCGGAGCCCGCTGAGTTTGGTGGGGCGGCTTGAAGGAGTCTACCCTTTAATCTGGCGCGGAGGAGCCTGGAGTGGGTTTTGGACCAGGCAGTGGATGGATGAACCATTCATAGTACGCACTCACCACACACTATAACTTCATCTCTTCCAACAGCACATCTTCTTTCTTTATCACGCGGCGCTCATCGAACGACGCGAAAAATAAAATGTCCAGTGTAGCACTCGCGCGAGCGTACCAGCAATCCTTTGCAGCTCATCCATATGGCACCCTCGCAATCACGAACGGCACGCTCAATGCCCTCGGCGATATTGTCGCACAGCTGACCGAAAAATGGGTGAGTCAGAGTGCCTGTAAAACATCGGTATAGCCTCCTGACAGCAGACGTGTAGAGTGGCCCGTATAGAGAACATTGGGGATATGATCTTCCTCGAACGATGCGTTTCTTCTTGTTCGGGTTTGCAATGGGTGCGTCCATAATCGGGGGTATGCAATATGGTGCTCATGGGCGGATATCAGGTCCCGTCATCGGTCGCTGGAACTTCTTCCTCGAGCGCCATTTCCCGTTGCGCTTTCAGAGCACCACGCCGAATGGCATCGGCAAGGTCGACATTCGTGCGCTGTCGAAGCGAGTAGCAGCAGACCAATTGATCATGTGAGCGTGCCTTTAACCTGCTACGGACTGATCGTCGCTGATTACGTATGGCACGTTCTTTCTGGAAATAGGGCACCCATTGGCGTATGTAAAGTCTATACGTGCCTGGGGGTCACTTGTATCTGACAAGCTCTGTTTGCAGCTTGCGATATTTATAGGCTCCATGGGAATCATGGAAGGCCGAGATAGGCCTCATATCCGGAGAAAATACGCGCAGTTATTCTATCCTGCCCTCATCGCGAATTGGCAGGTGTGGCCCCTTGCGCAGGTGCGTATATGCCGTTGAATAGAGTTGGCTCCTCAATAACAATGCTCTCGCGATATAGCTTATCAACTTCAGGTTCATGCCTCTACCGTATCGAGTTCCTTTTCAGTCGTCCTGTGGTGTCTTCTGGACGTTATATCTTTCTATCCTGAACTCAGCGTGCGCATTATACCTCATGCTTGAGAGTGGTCAGACCGACTCATAGTTCTTTTACCACAGGGAGGCGCACCGGCAAAAGGAGCTGGACGCAATGGAAAAGATGCATAGCACTGATTGATGGATTGCTCCTTGCTCTACTCTTCCCTTTCTTGGGTATCTCGTGGAGGATCTTGTTTGAGGTCTCCGGTTGTTTGCCTGTCAGGATCGCTCCGAGTCATAGGACGGGAATCCGCCTCTCATCATCCACTGTAGCTCTAGCACTCACATACGTATCAACTACCCTTTCTCTACTGTACTTTTTGCACCTTGTCTGCCCATCCCGGCGTACATAGATTACAACAGTATATATAGACGATCGCGTGACTGATCTTGCCCATCTCACGTTTTGCCGTACTTTGGCTTGAAGAACGCGGGCGGCAGCGATGCGAGGACTTCCACCAGCGGGCGCTCGACGACGACGAGCTCGGTGGATGCAATAAAATCGACGAACAGCAGCGAGCGGTAGTGCGTGACGAGGCGAAAATTCTGGTCTGGTGGCGGGGGCACGCGCCCGTACGTGTCGCGCCGCCGCTTCTTCTCGAAGCCGCCCCAGCCTTGGTCCGCGTCGAGCTTGATGCGGCAGAGCCACGTTGCGCCCCAGAACAGTGCGTTCCGCGGAGGCAAGGGTCGCTCGTCCGCGTCGCCGTTCTCGTCTGCTCCCTCACGCTGAACAGCCGATCCCGGATCGAACGTCACACCCAGTATCGGGTCGTGCAGCTGCGCAAAGCGCTGCGGCAGCGTACGTTCCAATGCGCGGGCCCATGTCGGGAAGCTCCGCGTCTCGACATCGTATACATGTATTCCGTTGTTCGCGAGCCCGAGCACAAGCACGCTCGGCTGCGAAGGGTCGAACGCGAGCGCGTGCACCGGCGCGGGGAACGTTGGAAGCAGTGCGTGGTGTACGATCGCGTCGAGATTGAAGACGTGCGTCCGGCAGCGCTCATCGGTCGTCACGAGCCATTGGCCGTCGGGGCTGATCGCCATGCGCGTGATGGTGCCGAGCAGAGTGTTGCGCCCTTCAGCGGGGGCAAGCTCTGTTTCACTGTCGGAGAGGTGGTCCTTCTCCTCACCGCCGGACTGCTGGGCATCGGCCATCTCGATGTCTTCTGCGCCTTCTTTATGCTTCTGGCTTCGGTGTCTCCTTTTCTTACCCGCGCCCTTGACCACGCGGTCGCCAATGACCGCGTCTTTCATGCGATGTTGCTCGAACCTGCGCAGGATACGAGGTTTCTGAGAATTCGCGGCGTCATTGAGGTCAATCACTAGGACACAGCACGACATGGCAGTTGCTACAACGAGCCTCGTAGAATCTGGTGTGAACATCAAGGACGATGCACCCGTCGAGTTTCGGGCTCCCTCCGGAAGGCTCTCGAAAATAACAGCAGAGAAATCTCGTATCCGCTTTGGCTTGAGATTGCCGTTCTTCTGAGAACCCATGTCAGAACGTGCTATGCAAGGACAACAAAAACTGAACGCACTTCTGGATGTAGATGGAACAGTTTCGTTTCATACCAATCCGCGACTGCAATCCACCGACCATCGTCTGAGATAGCACTCGCGACAAGATTGGTGGAAACATTCAAATCCATATCCAGCACCCTCTGGTAACTGCTGTCCGGGTTTTGTCCTGGCACATCATCGAACCCTGATGGGTCCCTCTTCTGCAGGATTCTCCACACACTGACGCCCGCGTCCCTTGTGCACAGGAGCAACCTCGCCTTTCTTGCCAGATGCACGGCACTCGCGTTGTACAGCCCTGAGCTGTACGCAAGCCGTCGGTGGTACGACTCGTCAAATGTCGCGGTGGTGCTCGTCGCGAGCGGATTGACGATTTTGGTTGCAGTGGCTGTGGCGAGTGCGGCGGGTGTGACGACAACGGACATGTCCAGCCCGCCGGAGGCAAGGATGGGGGCAACATCGATGGGATATTGACGACGGTAAGGTACGGGGACGGGCGTGTGCGGGGGCCAAATGGCGAGCCCTCGGACGTCGTGCGAGTGCAATCGACGGGAGGATGTCTGGATCCAGCGTGCGGATGGACGGGAGAGCAGAGAGGAGGACTTCTGAGATTTGGGCGTCTTGATATGTGAGTATTGGGTGACTTTTTGATCCACGCCCGACGTGTAGACTACAGTGCCTTCCTGTTCCACGGTTAGTTAGCAGATGATATAGGGACATATCAACGCACAGGACTGATGGTAAGGCAAAGCACGTCAGCTGCATGTCCCTGGAAGCTGTCAACTTGAGTACATGTTATCGGATCCCAGAATTTGACGATGCCCATGGAATCTCCGGACACAATCGTCCCGTCACTGTGAAAACATTGAGGGCTGATTCAGGCATACTATCCGAATGCATCACTTACCCAAGAGCTCCTACGGTCCATACAAGCGTGCGCTCCCCCCTCACCCTCTCTGTGGTCATCCTGTCCGTCACCCGCCCACTCGGCACGTCCCATTTCCTCAAACTGCTATCCGAGCACCCTGTGACGAGCCAAGCATCCGACCAGTCATCCTCATTCTCATCGTCAGAATCAGAGCCGTCCGCAGTCTCCTTCGTGGTCTCGCGAGGGACAGGTGGGCCCCAAGCGATGCTGAGTATGCGGCATTTCAGCCTATCGAAGCGCCGGAGGTGTGAGAGGGTGTCATGCTCGAGTGAGAGGAGCCTCACGGCGCCATCTTCGCAGCCTATTGCGAGCAGGGTTGATGCGGGGTTGGGGGCGATGCACCAGATGAGGCCGCCTTGCGAGTCGATCATTCTCTGAGAAGAATGAACACAAATGATTTGTCGCGCTGACGCAAGTATATTTAAAAACACATACTCGGACACATGCTTGCTCCGTGTCCCATTCTGCAAGCGAACTGCTACCTCCCGCACTGAATAAACGAAGGTTTGCGGTGGTTGGAACCTCATCCTCTGCAAGTCGATCGGGAGATTTGATAGCAAATGCGAGCGAGTCAACTTTAGTCCCATGTATACCTGCTAGTGTCTGAATAGCCTTAGGCCACGGGTAGCACTCGCTTTGAGAACTCAGGACGCACCTTCCTAACCACCCATGCTTGCGGCGCCTGCAATACTCCCTCCGCGCCTGTCCACTCGTGCAGCTCGATGTTTCCATTTGCCCTCCCTACAGCCAGTGTCGGGAACCTCAGCGGCTTCCTATTCACCGTACTTTTCTTTCCCTTCACCGAGGGCAGACGCAGAGGCGGGAAGCAGAGCGCAGTGACGGCGGAGGGAGTAAAGTCGACGAACCGACACCGGTGAACAGCCAGAGTCGTCGCCTCTGCCATTTTTTGCCTGGTCCGCGAGCCAGCAATTCACCCGCGTTTAGCCCGAAAGAGATCCTTAAGAGTACGGTCGGAACGCGTCTGTACAGACAAACTGTATGGACGAATTTCGTGATCGGGAAGCGCGCAAGTCACGAGCAAACTTTTCCGGTCCCCAATCGGGCAGGAGCAGGAGGCCAATGGCAGCTGCCGTTCGACACCGTCTCTGCTCTGCTCCTGCCTGTTGCATTCGGGCCTCCTGGCCGTAACATCTCCACAATCAATCTGTTATCTAGCTACGCAAAATGTCTTTTCTCGGTCGATCAGGCTCAGGATCCTCGTCAGGCATCAACCCTGAACGGGTGGATATGGCCATACAAGAGTGTGTGTTCGCGTGAACTGCAACCTGTGGCCAGCAATTGACACATTTTATAGATTGGACATGATTACAGATGTATTCAACCGTCTCGTCTCGTTAGTCTAGGGGAATCTATTGCTACATCCGAACGCTCAGTGCTTCTTGCAGGTCATGCCACGCAAAATGCATCAGCCCACGGTACGCAGAAGGTGACCTGAACAAGGGAGAGAGTGTCTGCATCGACAGATGCGTCGCAAAATTCTTCGAGGTGAACAAGAGAGTGGGAGAGAAACTGCAGAGCATGGGTGCGAATGCGGCAGCAGCAGGGGGGACTCAGAGCGCGTTTGGCTCGATATGAGGACCGTAGTCCCATTATTGGATGAGAGACGATACGACGAGGACGACAGATAGATGATCCCTGCGGCGCTGAATGTTACCGTATTATCCATTAATGTGCTTGAGCGCACAGCACCTATGCTGCATATGCAATCCTCCAAAGTTGCAGCATGGCCTGTGTTAGAATCGATATGTACATGCAAAGAGACCCATGGATATCTCAACGAGAGGGCGAGAGGAATGAAGTCTGACTACTGCCCAGAGCCCGGGAAGCACTCGGCTATCGTCTTCGAATGCTTGTTCCGCGCATGCTCTTCCAGCCTGAGGTCCAGCATGAATACAGTTGTGAACCACATGCCGCTAGAGCACTTACGCAGGGGCACGAGTGGTCAACAACTACGAGGAAGACATGCGTGAGTAGCAGAGAACGATGAGTGTTGAATGGAACACGCACGAAAGTCTGCCGGCAAATTTGACAGACGATGTTCATGGCAGCCTGGTTGGTCTTGATCTGGCTCTTGGCTGTGCTGCCAGCCTTTGCCGCGTTCCTCTCCCTTTTCTGAGCTGCCTTCGCACCCTAGAGTCCAGAATGCCTCGCAGAGTCAATAGCCAGGGTCGAATGAGGAATCAAATCAGTCACAGCTCACGTTGCCCATCCTGAGTTCTAAAGAATCAGAGTGAAATGAAAAGGGTCGTATACGAAGCCGTCTAGATGGCTTGAAGGCAAAGGCAAAACAAGGCGGCGATGGCAAACAAGAAAGAGGAACGAGACGAGCAGGCGGTGCGGCGGGCTGGAACACAGAGAAATGTGTGCAGGAGATCAGAGCGCGTGGCGAATAGCATGTGGGCCTGATCGACTGGACCACGGCCCGTAAAACTTACACTGGGAAATCCAGATTGCTATATATTTCCCCGTCCTCGACATTACACAGATGATTGCGTGCGAGCGGCCTGCACTCCTGTTCTTCTGTATGAGTCCCCGTCGCCTTTTCACAGCTCTGCGCCAGCACTCACGGCTCTTCAGCCAGACAGCGATCCAAGGGCAATACCGACGATACACCATGACAGTTAACGGTGATGCGCGGGCAAAGATCATTGAGGCGGTGAAGGTCGATATCCTTACCGAGACTCAGGAAGATGTACGTGCAATGTAGCGCATCCATATCTCAACGTCAGTCAAACAAGGTGCTCCTAGGACAATGCCAAGTGGCTACAGTCCGTCTCCCGGAGCTTCATCTGTGAATACACACTTATGTCTTGCGCATATACCTCTCAAACTAACTTGCTTCCGAAGCTGATACCATCACAGGTTCGTTCAAAACCCACGGACACGCGCACAATGGCATGACAATTCGCATTTAGCCCCGACGAAGGAAATGTACGCGTATGCAGTGCGCGCATCGCTCGGCGATGACGTGTATGATGAGCCCTGCACTAAGACCTTGGAGACGCATATGGCCAAGCTGACCGGCAAGGAAGCCGCTCTGTTTGTTCCCTCTGGCACTATGTCCAACCAGCTGGCATTGCGGACACACCTAAAGCAGCCGCCATACTCTGTCCTATGCGATCACCGCGCGCACATAGCCAGGTAAGTGTTCTTCAATGTATGTACAAACTTGTTTTGATGGTATATCAAGATATGAAGCAGGTGGTACAGCATTTCACTCCGGCGCGCAACTTGACTACGCTATCGCGGCCAATGGTTTGTGTCTTATCTGTCTTATTTGGTGAAGTGGACGCAAAATGACTGGGATGTAGGGCACCACCTTACACTTGACGATATCAAGGAACATGTTGTCCTTGGAACGGACGTTCACAGGTTCGCGATCATCTCCAGTGCATTCATGCCATGTGATTGATAATTCCTCAGCTGTCCAACGGCCGTGATCGAGCTTGAGAACACTCTTAACGGAACCATTATCCCACAGGAAGACGTCATCGCCATCTCAGATTTCGCTCACAGCAACGGCATCAAGATGCATCTGGATGGAGCGCGTATCTGGCACGTAGCGGCCGAGACTGCGACCCCGATCAAGGAGCTTTGTGACCCATTCGACTCTGTCAGTCTCTGTTTCAGCAAGGGACTCGGTGAGTGTCGCCTTAGACTGCATGATGCCATTGGGTTCATCCATGGTCTCTGTGTTAGGTGCACCCATCGGCTCGTGTCTCGTCGGTTCGAAGGAGTACATCATACGCGCACGGTGGTTCAGGAAGATGTTCGGCGGAGGAATGAGACAGACAGGTTTCATGGCGGCCTCTGCTGCGTATGCGCTGACACACCATTTTCCCCTCCTCTCTGGAGTGCATGCTCTGACTCGGCGTTTGGAGAGCGGGCTGCAGGATATCGGTGTCGAGATTACTAGCCGTGCTGAGACTTGCATGGTGAGCGTCAATTGTCGTCATCCATTCCTTCTTGGACGACTAACCATCTCAAATCCTTCAACCTTTCGTCCAGGTGTTCTTCGATCCATCCCCTATCGGTGTTTCTTATGCCGAGCTCGTGGACCGCGCTGCGAAGTTGCCCAGCCCGATTAAGCTCGGGGGTTCGCGCCTGGTGGTGCACATCCAGACATCCGAGCAAACTGTGGATGACTTCTTAGCCCTTGTGCGGCAGCTTGTGCAGGAGAAGAAGGACGCGGGTTTCGTCGCCTCCGACCATACCGGCGAGAAGAGGGGGACCGGAAAGCAGAGCATATATGTGAAAGTCAGGCAAGCAGATATTGACAAGATACAGCGGGAAACATAGTCGTCTCTGGTCTAAGATCTGAGGCCTACGGGGAAGAAGGGATACAAGGATAAGCCTAGTGCTCCTTAGTATGCTAGATACAGATAAAGGTCTCGCAAAGTCACACGGATTGTGCTCGTAGTAGAAGTTCCAGTAGACTGCATCGCTGATACTGCTGTGTATCTAAAGCTGCCCTCCAATCGATTAGGGGATCTGAGTACAGTACTTTTCCATACAGCTCGGCTTGTTCTAGCCCTTCCCGATGTATCTCTGCTTCTCGTATTCTCTCCAAATTGCCTTCATCGTCGCCTTTCCGCCGGAGTCAAGAGCAGAAACCATGATGGCGTCGCGAATATGTTCCCCGAGCATATCGCAAAGCGCAAACAAGCCAGGCTGCAACTCCTTGCGTACTTGTGTCGAGACATGGCAAAGCGGGTCATTGACTGCCTCGACGTATGCCACTAAAACATACGCGCCGTGCTTCGAGAATGGACGTGCTAGCGACGCGGGCTTCTGAAGCTCAGCAGCTTGATTGTGGGTGCGAACGATAGTCTTCGTCGTCAGTGTTGTTATCAATCTTGCCAAGGTCTTACTCTCCTCGGCTGATAGTGGCTGATGGACATTGATCCATCTTGGAAGGGTACTCGCGACCATCTTGGTTTGTTTAGCTGCTAGCTGTGGACGCGGAGCCCGCAATGAGCTGGTGAGTTGCCGCAGAACCATACCAAGATGAGGTAGAGTTTTAGTAACCAGATCGCGGCGCAGGCGGATAAGTCCGCTGAGGATGGCAACGATTTCATGGAAGACAGCCGGTTCTGTGCTAGGATCATGCTCATCTGATTGGGCGAGAAGCTGTCCTAGTATTGACCAGATGGTGGACATGTCCGCAATGCGAATGGACACGGGCTGACAAGCGGGTTGAGCAATGTTGCGCATAGAACGATAGATGACGATCCCTTACTCGATCATTGAGATGTCGGCTCAATAACCCAAGAACCTCACAGCGCAGAGCAGGCGATTGGAGGTAGTCGGAGCAATCGGCAACCATGTTGAGACATCTCGTCATGAAATTCCCTGTGATCTTTGCGGTACCTATGTTAAAAATTTGAACGGAGAATTTCGAAGACACGTTGCAGTGAGACTGACCTTCCGGAGCTTCGTGTAACAGTAAAGCAGAGAGGCGAATGAAGCAGATCTGATCGCCTATTGAATGGCCAGCACCAGCCGAGAGGGCCTCAAATACCAACTCCAATATGTAGGAGAAGTCTTCCGACGTCAATTTTCTGGATGCTATTGCCAGCCTTGCATTCAATAGCTCCACTTCTATGACACATTGGGTAACCTGAGGGTCCAGAGACAGAACTAAACGTACCTTTAGGGCCGCACAGGCGACATGATGCGAGGTAGGCCGTTATGATGTATCCCAGATGCGCTTGGTGTTGCTCGTTCACATGCACGCTCAATTCTTCCAACAACAGATCCAAAACACAATGACACGTGTCCGCTGGATTGGAAATACCAGTACCTGCGAGTAACCGAGCGACAAGAGGCCGGGCAAATTTCGGCATCCCAGTAGCTTGAGAAAGCGTATTAGCGCGAATGACCTGGGCAAGCAGCGAGATGCTCACTGTCAACCTGCAGCCACCGATCCAAAGCTAGAACGCGAGACCATGATCGGAGTAAGTCAACTTGATCCAAAAGGTCAGGACTCATATTGGCTCCTTCCTGCGCCCATTGCAACATTCGCGTCGAATAGACAGCGATCAATCGCTCTTGTAGCTGTCGTAGCAATGTCCTGAATTGCGCTGAAAAGCTATTTTAAGGTCAGAACAGATATTCGGTGATGCACGAGCCGATACACTAACTCATTGGGTTGGTAACCAGATGTGAGTATATCGATGAACCGAAGCAAGCTCTTCTCACGTACGGCATGGTGAGAAGGCGATTGTCGCTGCCCCTGCAGCAGACCAACCATTCGTGTGAAGGCTTGCACAATGTCGACAACCACCGCGTCGTCACCCTTCTGAGCGTTCTTCACGAAGAAGCTAACGCGAGAAGATGAATGTAAGAACGACCGTAATTCATAGTCAGGACAGGGACGCACCTCAGCTGCAGCGCGGTAAGGTCCAATGTGACAGCGACGAGCGAAGTCGAAGCGGTATGACCAGAAGAAGCACCCAATGGGTGCTCCACGAGATAGTCATAATATAACTTTTCCGTCTGCGTCGCATTAGTGAGATCAATAATGGGAGTGGGATACGACTCACTGCCAAGTCTGAGATGCCCACCTCTGTGAGCGTGCGGCGTATGAACTCACGCAGAACGAACAGCGCGTGGGCTTTCGTGCTGTCGTCTTTATCCCCAGCATTACGCGCCGTCCCTAGAGAGACATCGCAAGCCAACGCTCTTCGTCGGAAATCTGCGCGCGTACTGCGTAGGAGATATTCTCCAGGGATATACAAGAGAATCTCGAAGACCGCATAAAGCCTTGCATGGTCCCCGTGGCGAACGTGAGGCATAGCACCATCACTCTTCAAAAGCGTTTCTAGGTTGATGCCATCGAGGTCCGACGTCTGAGCGTCAAGCTTAGCAAGGAGAGCATCTGATAGTCACATCAGGCTGATCCGCCGACATTTGTACCGGAAGCACGCTCACCTCTGAATCGATGAAGCTCCCAGATTTCCGCGTTGTGCAGAGCGGTCCTTACTATCGTAGCTGTGCTCAAGAAGTCACTTGTTAGGGATAATGAGCGCGAGTCAACCAGGTTATCGACGATCAATGCCGCAAGTTCTTTCAATTGGTCGGCCGTGGCAAGCGCGCTGACGTGCTTGTGAGATCAATAGCCCAGTCAGGGATTTCGCACTTACTTCACCGAAGGCATCTTTCTCGTCAACAAAACATGGAGGATGGCAACGGCGGCAGCCCCTTGACTATTCTCGTCCGCGAGATGTTGAACCTTGCCGCTCCATTTGGCGATGGACTTGTTGAGATGCTTCGTCAAATACCTCAAACACTCTCGCACGACGGCGTTGTGCGCCGCGATATCAACGACAGCTTCGTTCAAGCGCACACGAGCCTATTGTGCGATGAGCATATAAATTCACGGAGCGCCTTTTAAGGTAAGATCATGCATGACACTAACCAGCTCAAGAGAAAGCTCTGGAAGGATCTCCGCATTTGTGATATCTGGACACTTCTCCATGAGGCCCGCATCAAGTTGCACATCGAGCTGTAGCTTGGAAGCTGAGGTGAGACCATAATGCACGCGCAGCGCCGCCGCCGCCACAATTTGCGTTGCCCACGTATCTTGACGACCGTCTACTTTGATTGCCTTGAAGGCTCTCTTCACTGCAGTGGGTATTACTGCTGCATATGCTTCACTGATAGCGTTCCGTATCTCCAACCGAATATCCTCCAGGACCGAATGCATAGGCAGTGAGCTCAAGACGAGCATCGTTGCGCGGCCTACCAATGAGAACGTCACAGCTGCCCAGTCCTGGTCAACAGGTGCATCACTAGATGCGCAAGGTAAGGAATCCTTCTTCCGTTTCTTCCGTGCGCCCGTTCCATGATCCGCGTCTTTCATCTTCTGTTGCTCCTGGAATAGTTCATATGCAGCCCGGAAGCGATGTAATGCCGTCTCCACCACCTCCACAACCTGACCGGGGGTAAGGAAACCTTGGATGGCGGCAGATAATCGGTCGAAGAAGCTAACGGAGAGCAACGGACTGGACGAAACAAGCCGATAGAAGCTGCGAGGCTGTCCCGGGACAGCTAGGAGACTCTCCGTTGTGAAAGCATCGAACCAATACAAGATGACCGAGTTGATAGTTCGCGTCTTGGAATGGTAATCCAATAGCAAGCCCAAGTATTCAAGAGCAGCTTGGCTGCAGTTGGGTACCTGTATGTTTACGTTTGAACGTGGAAGAGTCACACCGAATGCATGTAAATACCATCGCGAGCCTGGGCCAGATGATAGTCAAGGCCGGCGATACGAGCTCGTAATCGATGTGCGTGATGATAGTGATTACCACCAAAGCAAAGCCCGTTTGTGCCGCTTCCCCTTCTGTAATTGATCGAATGCAGTTATGATTATGACACTACAAGCTGTAGGATGGCAGTTGACGCACCTCGCCAGGCCGACTTGAGAGCTTCCACAGCTAGGTCACTGTTTTGCCTTAGAATACGCGTGGCATTCTCATCCCTCACGTCGTATATGGCTTCTCCGTCGACGATGGCAAGTAAAGCGATTCTAGTGGGCCATACACTCGCGGTTCTATGTCCACTGTCCGACACCAGAAGTTCATCGCACAAGGCGAAGAATGCCGCTCCTGCCGTTTGAGTTTGAAGAGACAAAGTTCCAGATGTCTGTTTTGAGCTCTGGCTGAACAAGGCATTCTTATTACGTTTAATCGATTGGATGAACGATCCGAAGAGGCGCGGAATGACTTTCAGTACCACGTCCGGCATTTGAGACGTTGAGGTGAGGAGCGCTTCTTTGAGCGCAAGATCACATTTTGTATCGTCCAACGTACGCAAGACATCGACACTCAACAGAGTCTCGACACCCGCTGAATATATCATAGAGACAAGGCTTCTCTCCAGCTCACTGATATCTCCTCCGCCGATGCATTGCAGCCAGTGACCAAAATGATTCTGCAAGAAGGACAAATACAGCTGAACAGGGAGATTACATGTGAATGATGGAGATCCGTCGACAATTCATACCGTGCCGCACCTTCTTCTTGTTTGCCGAGTTGCTAAATCCACTTTGATATGCAGATACGATCAAGAGGGCCGCCGGCACATTTTGCTGATCGAGCAAAGTTGTCGTATCGAGTGATGTCTCCACGATATGTGCAAGCAATGCTCCGAAGCATTCCAGAAGGACTTCTGGGCTGAATTTAGGCACTGCCAAAGGCCACAGGACAGTCAGACACCGCGACACAAATGGATTCAATGCGACGCGTCTGTCAACGTCAAGGCGAGCCGATAATGAGAGGTATGAGGTTGTGATCGGAGCAAGAGGCGTGCGGTTCAGCAGAGGAAGAAGCCAGGTTTTGGTCGCGCGTGCTGACCCGCTCGTGTTCGTAGACATGACATTCGCGGAGAAAATGACATCGGAAAGAAGCTTCCAGTAGCGGAGATCAAGCTTGCAATTTGTGTCTCTACAAGGAAAAACGTTAGCATAGTAACTTTCCGGATCATATCATTAAGAAGAGATGCAGAAGCGTACTGACGTCTCCTTGTCCCTCAAAAGACGCGTCAGAAGCCATTCCACGACAACCTCGGCCTTGTTCGGCAAAGAGAGTGTTGTGTTAGCCCAAGCCTCTTGTGCGAGTTGGATCTTTGTCGGGCCGCCAGGGTGGGGAGGGTCAGACGATGCCTTCAGCGCTCGAACAAACTCCTGGGCCGAGCCGTGGCGAATGCTGGCCATACTCGCGTTTACTTGACAGCCTTATCGTCACTCTGAATGTGTCCAATAACTAGATAAAGGGGGAACTGCTGAGACAAAGTGTACTGCTCGTGGGTAGCTCGCTGTGGCCAATCGATTCAGACTTTGCACAGACCTTCCCGCGAGAAGCTTCTTGAGCGTCCAGCTCAGCGAACGCGTTCGTGAGAGGTCGCGAGGTTCAGCGACGGCAGCGGAGATTGCGTGAAAATGCAAGGCAGGGTCGCAAACGCTGAGAGTTACTCGTATCCCCGGAACTTGTGGCGAGCGAATAAGAAAAGCCTGAAAGCGGTCACGTGCCGGCAGGGTTGACCCTCCAGTGAATCCTCCGCGTTCGCAGTCTAGATTCGCGATGGCAAACGTATGTCTGCCTGGCAATATTGCATTCGCTCTCACCCCCCCGTCTGTTCCGATTTGCACGCACGGTAGCATATCCTTCACGTCCCGTTCACACCCAGATGATAGCATGCTAAATTCTGGCGCAAATCGGTCTGGATCGGCCTGAACCCAAGTCAATGGTCCCTTCCCCTCGTGTTCACCTCGCTTGACGATGGGTTATATAGGACGAACGAGCAGCGTGGAAGGTCTGCAGTTCCCTGGGCTTTCTGAAGCCTTCGCTCGTCCTGATCCTGGACTTACTCGGTATGCGGGGCCAATCCGCCTGATCAATGCGCGTCGACTGATTGATTGTAGGTGGTCTGGCAGTATGGTCGCGTATCTCTGGCTGGTATGGTACGAAGCACTAGCTAGGGCTGCCTCTCGACACTGGGCGTTGGCAGTCACGTACGAGGCGCACGAACAAGCGTATGCGACATTCTACGAGGTGTGTTGCCCTGGAGCGCGTCTTTGGCCAAGGTCGGAACACCGATCTTTCATATAGGTCGTCGGAGATAGCTCCGGAGGGCGGTATCACCCCCGGGTAGTCAGGCGCGTGCACCTGACGAGCAAGCACGGATCGACGCCGTACGCTGGAAAGTTGCTGCTGGGCGAAATTACGGACGAGGTCCTGAAAGTTCTCGAAGCGTACAGCGAAACGGCCGCAGAGCTGGTCAATTCGCACAACAAGAAACGCGGCATACACGAGTGGACATGCCACGACTGGGCGATCATCATTGCGAGAAGCTTAAAGGACGCACTTCTGCTCCCAGAGGTGTGCCCCTTGCCTACCCTTCATTTATCAGTTGCTGATGTCTATGCCGTGTGAAGGGCACCCTTGTCAGGGTGGAGAAGAGCGCTAGATTCGGCTGATGAGGATATATGTGCATATTCTGCCCGACCAATCCGGGTTCATTCCATTTCACTGAGACACATGATGCGTGAAGGAACGGATCTGCATTACGTTCATTATCAGCTTTCCAGTCGCTGCTCTGAAAATGTATTCCAGGTTTGATTTTGTCTTCCTGTTGGTCATCATCGCTCGTTTGGGGTGGAGTGACATGATTGGCTCCGCGGCATTTGTATTTCGGTTGGCATCTGCAGCATTAGGAGTTGCAATTGGTCGGTCTGTCTTATCATAGACGTCTCCACTGTTTTCTAGTACCATTACAATTGCATGTCGGTGGCCTGTGTTCTCCTATGTAACTCCCCTGTCTACTCGAGAACCCTTAACCCAGTGTAGCCCATTCGCCGAACTCGAAGAGAGTATTCGTGGCCTCAGCATATACTTCGCCAGTGCCCAGCAATGGTATCGACTAGCTGGCCGTATCTTCGAATCAAGATATATATGTATTCCGCAGCAGACATACTGGCTTAATCAGAAGGTGACCGTGAGACGAGGTGTCGACTCTGGATTACCTCGGCCGGGGCCGGTGGGCCTTCAGGCCTCAGGCCTCAGGAGTAAAAGCTATCTGAGACTATCTCCCTATCCCCACATCCTGGGCCCGTCCGGGTCGAGCGGATGGGTAAGACTGTTCGTCTACAGTACTGCGGTTTCGAGATTTCGCCGGTCAGATGAGACTGGAATGGCTTAGATAGAATCTCTGCAGTACATAGAGTCCCGGTTGACGTTCAACATGTCGCAGAGGGCATTGTAGGTCCCGGTTCAATGCTGCCGCATACTATTGGTCGGTTTGCCTCCGCCCGGTGTGTCCCTGGCCAGCTGAGTTTCAGGAACGGATCGGACCGGACCGCAAAAACCTAACCCAATATCGATAGCGCCCAACGCATATATCTCCACGGCGTCTGACCAATAGCTTCCCTGACAAAGACTAACTAGACAATATTCTCTAGGTATCTTGCATGTTTCTGCTTGATAGGCCACAGTTAACTCAGTGCTCGGTTTAGGCCGCCGGCAGTTAGGAGGATAAAGTCTGCGGTATCAGTGAACGGCACGTAGCACTTCATCGACATCTCCGGCCATCATGTCAGCGGCAGCCTCACCACAGGATCTGGATCTCGCAGGATGTAGTTCTCTCCAGCAAGAGGAGTGGCAGGTGCTCGAGGTGCGTAGCCGCGCCCCTCAATGGTATACACACTTGCTGATCACTTACCCTATGGCAGTCGATATACCCAGATTGCGTGTCCAGCGACATCTCGAGCGGCTCGGTCAAGCTCGAGATCCCCGTCGAGTTCTCCGAAGCGAGAACTGTTTCTATAGAGAATGACCATACCGTTTATTCCGCTGGAAATGTGCCGCCTTGTGGCTCATCATGTGGTGTCGCTGAAGTGCCTCACTATCTGTCGCTCACTAGCTTGCCGCCTCTGCTGCTGGATGTCCTCTTGCCACCGTCTTACCCATATCATCCTCCGATCATCACATCGCTGCATGCCACGAATTCGTGGCTACCACTCACCCTTGGATTGCAACGACGGTTGATTGAAATGTGGCAGGATGGCGAGGGCGTGCTCTACACTTGGGTAGAATGGATCCGCAGCGGCGAGTTTCTGGACGCTCTAGACTTAACCGCGTATTCGAGCGGGGAATCAGTCATCCAGTACGTCTGCTCAGCTTGTGTTGGCTAGAACTCATGCATATTGACTGGTTTGTTATTTAGTATCCTTCATCCTGCCCCGCACGTTCTCTTCCCTCTCCTCAAGGCCTATGACAAATCGACGCAATTTAGAAGGTTTTCTCAGACATCATATACGTGTGAGATCTGTCTCACGTCGATTAAGGGGGCGCGCTGTATCTTGTTATCATGTTCACATGTGTTCTGCCGTGCATGTTTGGAGGACTTTTGGAAATTGTGCATCGCAGAAGGAGATGTGGGACGTGTCGGGTGTCCTGATCCCCACTGTGTTAAGGCTGGACGGGAGGCAAACGAGGAGGAAGTACGGCGAGTTGTCATTGAAGAAGAGGTGAGGCGATGGAAGTGGTTACGCGAGAAACGAGAGCTCGAGAAGGGTAGGTCGGACTTATTGTTCAATCCTTGGTTGTTAAGTTACGAACGAATTTCTCAGATCCGTCCATTATTCATTGCCCTATGGCATTCTGTCAGAGGCCGGTGCGCAAGCCTTCAAACGTCGATGAAGGGTCTGGATGGGAGCGCTTACGGACGTGCACCGACTGTGGATATTCGTTCTGCGCTTACTGCAAACGGTCATGGTGCGTGCATGTCTTGCTCCTGTCGGACAGGAGCACTCAAAATCGTATTTCAACAGGCATGGACCCCTCTTAGACTGCCCGGTATCAGCGACCGAGTCGTTTGTGCTCGAGTACCTGGCATTGCCAGAAGATTCGCCCGAGCGAGTGCTGATGGAGCGACGATTCGGAAGAACGAACATGCGTAAGCTTGTGGCGAAGTATGAGGAGGAGCAGGCGAACAAACGGTGGCTCGAGCAGTCGACGATGGAGTGTCCCCGCTGCCATGTCCACGTCGAGAAGTCGCTGGGCTGCAACCATGTACGTCAACGGGCCGGCGCAGTCTGGACGTTCTGGGTGCTGACGATTGCATGTGCAGATGACGTGCGCAAAGTGCCGACAGCATTTCTGCTACAGGTGTGGTGAGAAATTACTGGCGCAGAATCCCTACGTGCATTTTTCGACACCGGGTAAGGCGTGCTACTCGAGATTGTTTGACTTTCAGAGCGTAGAGGACGCGGAGTGGCAGCCGGTAGAGGGATTCGATCTGTTGTAGCTGAGCCTGTGCTGAGCCGATCTGAGTCCGAATATGACGTTGATTCCACGCCGACGTTCGAAGCCCGATCGAGGCGGACATCGGGCGGCCGGTCGCGTGCTGGTCCGATTGGTGAGAATTTAAAGTCCGCCCGCTGGATGTGGCAACGCCGACTGTGTCCCGATATTCTGCATTTTCTTTCGTGCCTCCTATACTACGCCGTATATCTTGGTCGGTCTCTCTTGTTTCTTCGACGACCAGCCTCCTTCGTCTCTTTCGCGAGGCTGCGCGGGCATTCCCCGATACCACTTTGTCCATACCCCTCCCAGATCATCCCCATACCCTCCCTGTTTTCCTATCTCCCGCCCCTCACGCACACTCTGTATTTTTCAGTGAATCTACCCAACCACAAGGACAATGGAAATCTACACCACATCGTTTACTTATCCCCGCCGAGTGCGACCCGCTCATTCCCCCGCTTCGTCTTTCGACTTCCCCACCGCCCAAGAGCTCAGACGCGCCGAGTCGTACCCGCATCTTCCACAATACGCCAACAATCATAATCTTTCCGATCCTCAAGGGACTGTGTCCCCTTCCGACTATGACGCTGTTCAGAAGCTCTCGCTCATGACCATGGGGCTCCATGGCGTCCACGTTTCCTTTTCTGCCGTTGACCAAGGCAGGGCCTGGAACTTCCAGATTTCTGGCCCTTACCAGCAAGTCATGCTTGCCAGAGGCCTCATTCTCAAAGAATGCCCAGTTCAAGTACGTATATGCGCGTTCCTTGAACTATGCTGCGCTGACTTTAGCTCGCTTAGAATCGTGCAACCATCAAAGTGGCGCGCTCGGAGATCCTCGACTCCCCCTCGTCCAAGCCAAGTTTGAAGCCTGAAGTCCGAAAACGCCTGGATGATATCGCATCTCACACGTTGGCGCATATCGCAGTGGTGAACAGTCCCTTGGCGCTGTCGACGCGTACATTGCCCGATGGCATCAGTAATAGTGCCGGATGGTCTGGACTTGAGACGGAGCGTGTATGCGAGCTGGTGATCACGGGCACAGGAGATTCTGTAGATCTTGCCCGCGTTCGGTTGTTGGTTATGTTGGATGAACTGGTACGTGGTGATAATGCGCCTCAATCCTTGGTTGCTCATGTTACGTTTAATAGAGCGGTCTCCATGCCGAAGCTTGTGAGATCGATCGCACCCTGCATGCTGTGGTTGCGGGCAGGAAACGTGCCGTTTTGCAGTCTATTCAGGAGGAGACGGCGACGAACATCTACTTCCCGTCTCCTCTTCAGGGCGTGATTGGCCCGGACTACAGCCAGACTCCTGTCAACGCATCTCCCTCAGCGCAGCTGAGCAAGCTGAATGCAAACACACTCTGGATAACTGGGGAGTTCTTTGGTGTCCAGCGTGCGCGCGACATGCTGTTTCAGGTGTCAATGAACAAGGTATGAATGATTCATAACATACAAGCGGTGCATTGAGACCATGATCGACGTTACAGAGTAAACAGATCCTGTCTAGGGACAGCGCACTCCTACCTCGCAAGATGGACTGGATGGTCACTGAACGTGCGGATGATCTGAAGGCGCTCATGCACGACAACGCCACATTCATCCAATTCCCTCCCGTTGGCAGTTCTACAAGCCTGCTCACCGTGTACGGGGATCACAGGGTGAATATTCAAAGAACAATCCGTTCGATCATGCAGCTGGTATGTGTGGCTTGCTGCTGACTTTTCTCAGCTCCTAACCGTGGACAATAGGCTTGCCAATTCTACGTTGCCTCGTTGTGGCTTCTTCCCGCTCAGTTCAACGTCTTGATGCCCTCTGCCAGCTTGAACCCTACTCAAGTGACGGCGATTTTGAAGCAGATATCGTTCGCTTCGGGTGCAGAGGTGGTCTTCAAGGGTATGTGTTTCGAGATGCACGGCCTTGAGCATGAGGTTCGTGCCGCGATCTCGATGTTGTTGGACCTCGAAATCGTAAAGGTACGCTTTCTTCCGATTGCCCCCGTCATTGTACCTGTCACAGATCTGATCTTCGTGATGGTTATAGCAATTCCATCATGAGATCCGCTTCCAGATCGAGCTTGCGAATGAGCATAGGGAGTTCATCAGCGGTAAGAAGAATGGCAAGATCAACAAAATCATGCAGACCACCAACGTCAAGATCAAGTTCGAGACGTTCAATGAGCACAACTTCCTCATCGACATTTCTGGAAACGACCTGTCTGTCTTGCAAGGTCTAACACTCCTCCAGGAAGAGCTGCCTGCGGAGATTTCGTTCCACGTGCCCGAATCCTATCACAAGCGAATCATTGGTGTGGGTGGTCGTAGCATTCAGCGCATCATGAAGAAGTACGGTGTATACGTTAAGTTCTCGAACGCGGAGGAGTTTGCGGCCATGGGTGGTTACAATGACAATGAGGACAATGTCATTGCGAGGACCCCGGCGAAGAACGCGATGAACCTGGAGAACCTGAAGCAGTCTGTGATGGAGCTCGTCAACCCGAAGGTTAGGCCGCTTTATGTTCGTCTTCAGGCGTCGTAAGTCTGACTAGAATTGATTTAGGACAAGGACTACATGAACGAGACGGTCTCTATCCCAAGAAAGTATCACCGCATCCTCCTCGGCGAGAAGAGTATCTTCATTCATGACATTGAGGCAAAGACGAACTCGTCCGTGCGCTTCCCAGACAAGGAGACTGCGTCGGACCTGGTTACCATTTTTGGGCCCGAGTCTCAAGTGCATATTGCCGCGACAATGCTGCTGGTATGTCTCATTTACACCTTGTCCGTCCATTGGCTAATTTAATGGCGTGAAGGACCATGTACCTTTCGAAGCCGACATGGCTGTACCGCCCCATCCCGAGTTACCTCGCATTTGCGCATCTTCTGACTTTGTAGCGTTCACCGAGCGCGTCAAGCGTGACTCTCAAGTGATCATCTCTCCCAATATCAAGCTACCGTCTCCTGGGCTCTCTACTGATATATCGTCCGAATGTTCGTTCAAGTTCCGGTGCCAACGTAGCAACAGTGACTTCTTAGTGACCGCCCGCGAGATGCTCGAGCAGTTCTTGATTAGCCACAACGCGCATGTCTATCCCTCTGCAACATCTAGGACACATCAACGGACAGACTCGTTCACGGATGCCTTTCCTCACTTCGATAGCAAGGTTCTATCCACGGCGAGAACCCGTCATCAAAGTAAGCTGCACTTTTTTTTAAACCCATTCTGTGGTTCTCGTCATTCAATGTTGAACGCTTGACACAGACTCGGCTGATCTTGGACGCCCTTCCGAGGCTATGATTGATAGGCGGCTACGACTCGCAAGCTCGTCACCGGATGTAAAGGCGCTCTTCAACAACTCCCCAGCGCCAGCATATATTTACCACCTGGAGGAGGAGGAGGACTTCGAGTCGCAGCCCAACTATGTGCCGGGACCGTCCACCGACTACTGGACGCCATTGCCTCCGATTGTAAGTCCCTATGATGCTCTAGGCTCTCACTTTACCGACCCTTGACATCATCGCAGGGTTCAGGTGTTCCAGCACGGACGAGACACGGCGAGGACGCGATCAAGCGAGGCTCCGATCCGTTGCTAGAGTCCAAGCTCAGGGACCAATTAACAAAGCCGCGCTCACTGACCAATCGTGCTCAATCCCTCGACCTCACGTATTCGCTGACACGCATCAGCGAGGTGCCCCGCTCTTCGGGTTTCTCCCGCCCGGACTCGCCCGAGACTGCGACCGGAGCTGGCACGGGAACAGGCGGGAGCTCCAGTCCGATCTCTGCGACAGCCCCGTCTTTTCCGAGCGTGTACGGTCCGCCAGCCGCTGCTCGCGGTGGTGCCGCGGCCAGTTCTCCGATGATTCGCGCCGGGCTCGTCATGGACCAAGAAAGCGTGGAGGAAGTTACAAGAGTGATCTCAAATATTCACCTTTAAATTCTTTTGAATGGTCATTGAATCGTCGGTAACGGGACTGGCGCCTCGTCACCCGAATCAATCCGTCATGCTTCAATCTCACCCACTCGAATTTCATGAGACGATCCAACCCGCCTAACAGTAAAAAGGCGGAGGTTCCAACAAGGACGGACTAGTCCGCTTGTCCTATTTTCTATTTGCTTCGTTCGCCTCTGTGCCTATGCGCGTCATTGCTCGTCCTCACGCACCTCATCGCATCACATCCTGTCTACCTGCCTTGTCCGTCTCACGCTCAATCATACGCTACATATCTATGGCATTCTAGAGTTGTGTTCCTAACATCTATCTCGCTGAATCTTTGTCGTATTCGCTCGTCTAGTATTTGCTTAGTGGCGCTGTCCTCAATCGCGACGATACATGTAACATACGATGGCGTCCAAACTACGGTGGTTGGCTGGTCTTCCGTTAAATATTCATATCTTTATCATCACCCTTTGCTCTGTGGGCAGACACGTGGACCTGTCCGCAACGGAAACACCGCACAGTCGCATGCTCGGTTGCCGCAACCAAACAATTCGGAATATGGTGTTCATTGCATGAGTTACGACATCTTTGTTCTATGTAGTTGCGACCGATTGCCCTGTAACAACGTTCACGAGAGCGGCCTGCATCACACATCCATCGCGAAACCTAGACACCGCCCAACCACAACGTGTTCTACTGATGTATATCGCACAAGATTTCCGAATGATTCCCTCCGAATTGCTGTTTTGATGAGGCCAGGTTTAGGTCTTAGCTGCGCAGTGTCACAGCAAAACACGACGACTGACGTGCATCTTGCGACGTGGTATATCTAACTCCAATTGTAAATAGATAGTGCAATCCTCAGGTTACATCGCAGCCAAAACGCACTCGGAGTACAGCACATTAAATCGCTTAATATAATGACTGTGTAGCGGCGAGAACCAGCTCAAGCCGTCTTAATTCCCTCGCGGGCCACCCAATCCAACCAAGACCCCTGGTAATTTGCCAGGCTGCGAAAGATGTCACCTTTCACACGGGAGAGAAAGATGTGCTCGCACGTACTTCGTGTATCCGTTCCGCTTGGCAATGTCACAGGCCGTGGCTGCTCGCTTGCCACTTCGGCAGTAGAAGACAATCTCCTGATCTCTGTGAGGCTTCTGAAATCCGTATTTCTCCTTGAACGCGGCCGCGTCAAGGTGCAGTGAGCCTGGAAGCGTGGAGAGGGGCAAGTTCACAGAGGAAGGAATGGAGCCCTGTAGCACCTCGTCCGGCTCACGTACGTCGACCAAATAAGTTTCCTATGGTATTGTTGAGGCTAGCGTAATGAAAGGGTATGTAAGATGAAACACACTGGACTTGGCTGCAAAGTCTTCGGCTTCAACTCCTCGTAACTCAAGATCTTCGCGTCCCAATCGCGTCTCAGATTGTCCTGAGCCTCCAACGCTTCTTTGAGCTTTGGGGTTGGTTTCGTTGACTCATACCGAGCGATGTGCGCGAGACGAGGAAGAGGAACTCTCGCTGTGAAGAGGATCGACCTCGACAGAATAAGACCCATCGCGGGGGTTCGTGCTGCAGCGGTGCGCAACATTCTGGCAGTTTATGAGGCGGCGACGAGATGGAAATTGGATCAGTGCCTTGATAGATGGATCGAACGGCGGCGAGGGTGCTGCAATAGTTGCAGACGATGGCGGTATGCGGCAGAGACGCGCGCACTCGCCATGATCGTCTTTGAATGGCGTCACATGCTCAGGTCATGTGACCTGACGAGCTGGCTGCTGCGGGAATTTGCGATTGGCTCGCGCACAAGTGCCTCACTCAAATCATTGTTGAGGCGTCCTCTGCCCCCTACTGCCATCCTCGTCGTCGCCCGCCATCTGCTGTCACGATGCCTCTTCCTCCCTGTCCTGGCCTCAGTTATTATCATGATGACTGTCGGAGTGGATCCTATGCGAGTGGGAGCGTGGTTCTCAACAAGCTCGTATCGGGTCCTCTTCGCCGAGTCACTCACTCACCTCGCACCTCGAGGTCTGCTGAAGCATCGAACCGGTATTCTGTCTCATTCTGCATTCACTTCTTCTACCGTGCAATATCGGTGCTTCTTTCTGTGGCTCCTTCCATCTTCATATGGCTTCTCGGCCAACTGTAATATGCCGCTTTCTAGTGGGTCGTAGGCTATCCGGTACGTCAGATTCTGTGTCATCATACCACGAGGTGAGTGTACGTGTGGCGGGCAGGGGAAGTGCGAGCGTAGTTCTTCGAATCTGAACCTGCCCGGAGACTTAACGCCTAAGTGTTACTAATCTGTGCTGGCCGTCTTCGACGACCGCTGCGGTGCCGGTATCGGTCGCCCCAAGTTGTCCGCACATTGCTTCAAATGGTCGGCCATCAACACAATCCTGACCCTTACGCTCTTTTTCGACCGACAGCAATATAAGCATCACTATCCATACATTGGACTTTGGCCTGCATCCATTATTGCAGTGTCAGTTTCATTGCAACACAACCTGACTTACATCACAGAAGAGCATTTACGGCCTTTTCCCGAGAACGTACTCATCTGTTTATTGTTGAATGGGACTCGACCTCCAAGTCTACCGCCCAGAGGTTTCGCTTCCTCTTTGTCGATCTCCTCACCCGCAGCTCCCTCAGCACGATTGCTTGCGCTCGTTTGGCCGTCCCTCACGTGCAATGTGACACATATTGTCACAATAAGTCACAAGCGCTGTGTCCTCACTTCGTCACGCCGACGGTTTCTCCTCCCCGAGTGACTTCGCAGTCATGGAGATGTCCATGGATATGTCCTCCTCAATGACAGCGACCATGGCCTCCACTATGGTCATGTCAAGCTCTACAGCAAGCTCTGCAGCTGCCTCGGTGACATCATCCAGCATGTCGAGCATGGACATGTCATCTATGGGCGATATGGTCGCCTACCTGCACTTCACGCGTGGAGACTACCTCGTATTCAAGGAATGGAGGCCCTCTTCGCGTGGTGCTATAGCTGGCGCATGCATTGCTTTAGTGGCTTTCTCTATCTTCGAACGTTGGGTAGCAGCCATGCGCTCCCTGCTCATAGCGCATTGGCGGAGGAGGTTCGCGCATTTACTATCACTTTGTTGGGCAGGTTCTCATTCCTTGTTCTCAGGGCACTGGCCATTGCAGCGTCGCGGGCTACTGCTTCCGAATCCAAATCCTCAGCCCCCACGAAGGAGAAAGCAGCGACGGACGTGGAGGAGGTCAATGGCGTTAATAGTCTGAGCAAGTACCCAACTGCATTCGCTATCCGGCGCGCCCCGCGCACCGTCGAACCCTTCCTCGTGTCTCACGATCTCCCCCGCGGCTTCCTGTATGCGTTCCACGCCATGGTTGCCTACGTGCTGATGCTAGCAGTCATGTGGGTGCTGTTCCTGCCTCTGATGGCGCTCGATTCCCGAGTACTATGCTGACGCGGACCTGACTCGACCGAATAGGACGTTCCAGGCGGCGTATATCATCTCCATACTGATAGGGCTGGGTATCGGAGAGGTCGTGTTTGGCAGGATGGGATCAGGAGACGCCCACTTGTTGCATTAACAACAGCCACAGAAGTTGTCCTTTACTCGCTCGTTTTCTGCAGTCTTGTGGTCTTGTGTCTATCCTTGCTACACATGCCTTCTTCGCAGGATGAATTGCTTAATCTGTAGGATGGACTAGATGGATGTATTCCGAATGGACTCGGCAGCAACACGTGCCGTACGCTGGCTGACACGCCAAGCTGCGGGTTTCATAGGCTTTGCGCTTGAACGTACACCGTCGGACTGCCGATGTTGCCTCGACAAGGCCGTTCAACTATTCCTCAGGGTGCGCTCCTAAGGCCTAAGGTCTCACACGCACGCCACGTGCTAGCATCTCCATTGTTGTCCCCGCCGCCGCATGGTATTCAGCTGGGACGTCCCTACCGTGTTTTCCCCCAAATCCCTCTCACTCATTCGAGCACTTTGAAACATGATGCACGAAGGCGGACAAGACTCCAGCGCTCGCCCTCAGCCAGAAGAAAGCCAAGACATTTGGACCAAGCATAAGTAAACAAACGAGAAATAACTTTTTACAACCGGAATCGGTGGCTGAGAGTCCGCAATGTCACCATAAAATCTGGCACCCCCTCCTCAAGGCGGGATTTCCCTGCTAACGCCCCATCACCCAGCGTTGCAGATCCAGCTTATCCTTCCTATCTTATCTCCTGTCCCCGTACAGACTAGGGAGCCATGCGTTTCACCACTGTCGCATTCATGGGCGGGCTGTTGACCGCGGTGTCCGCCCACTTCCACCTGCAGTATCCAACGCCGCGTGGGGTTTTCAACATGCAAAATGAAGTCAACTTCTGTGGTAGGTCCACATTTTTCTTGATTCTATGGTGACGAGTACTGAATGAGTGGCTTCCATCGGTGCAGATAGTTACATTGATGTCACGGACAACCGGACGACGTTCCCTCTGAACAGCGCAATCTACTCGCTTACTAGCGGACATCCGGACTGGACGTGTGGGTACTTTTGCGTCTCATCTTTACTTGCTTCGGCGACAGGTACTTATGTCCGATTTCGTATAGTTGGCGTGGCCATCTCAACGGTATCGAACCCGACGAGCTTCAACAACTTCACCAACTTGAACGGGTCGTTCCAGTACGTCGTGAACTACTTCAAGGAGACAAATGCGGAGGGCGCATTCTGCGGGCCGATCGACATCGCGGCATCGGGTGTTGAAGGCGTGGAGGATGGCGCCAACGTCACGCTGCTGTTCGTGTTTGACGGCGGCGATGGCACCTTGTATCAGGTCGGTATTTTGCGTATCTCTTCCGATTCTCGGTGCTATTGTGTGGCCTCTCGTACACGTTCGCTGACTGTTGCTCGCGTTCATACAGTGCGCGGACCTGACCCTGAGCTCGGACGCCACGGTCCCCTCGAACGTCTCCTGCACGAACGCGACGTCGTCTTCCAACTCGACCACGAGCTCCTCGGTGAGCGGGACCGCGACTTCCTCGACGGCGTCGTCGACCTCGACCAGTCATTCGTCCGGCGCGGCTAGCGTTCGGTCGGTCATGGGCGTCAGCGGGTTGTTGGCCGCGGTCGCCGGTATTGCGATTGCCCTTCTTTGAACGCTTGCGGTGGCAGAAGCACGTCGTCTATTTATGCTGCATATGTCCATCCCTGTCTGGGTTATGCGGTGTACATGGGCTGCCGTGCTAATAACGGAGAAATAAATAATGCATTAAATCGCTGTGAAAATGAGTCTTGCGGTCCTGCTGCAAAGGTACTTAGTGCAGATCGATTCTTCAACGCAAGAACGCAACGCATTTGGCCGGGAGAGTATAATGGATGGGCGGAATCAATGCAAGCACTTTACCCGCATTGAAAACGAACCGGTTGGCTTTGGGGGTCACTTTGAATGTCATTTTGTGTATGCTCTGCATAGCCATGGAGCGTCTCAGGGGAAAAAAGAATTTGTAACCTGCCCGTTTGGGATGCGAGCATGTGACCGCGTCGGGCGACGACTACTAGAAGGCGCAATTTGAAGCAGACCTTTATATTGCCTGTCGTCGCTCCCTCAGAAAAGGCGATTTAATAGGTCTGCCTAGGGGAGACAAAGGCTGCCCTCTTAGAGCTTGTCTTACTTACGTTCTTTCCTGCATGTGGAGCGTTTCTCTCGAAATGCGCGATTACCTTATTCTGTTTCCCTCGTTTCACGCGCAGCACCCTGGCAGTGCTTCGTTCTCACCTGCATACACCGGAAACTAAGGGATTATTTCGATGGCGTCCGACGGGAAGGTTCAGTTCGATGTTCTGCGCATACTCACAGAAGCGCAGACATGATCAGAGAGGAACGAAATGCTATGTTCATGACTTCCGCTGTAGCGCTGCATTGACTCGCTCCTCAGGCCTTGGTCCAATCATTCACTCATATCAATTCGGTCAATGGAAAGGAAACCAGAGTCCTCATACTGGAAGCGTTCGACGTGTGGCTCCAGACGCCGCATGGCAGGCTCACTGGGAATCCAAAATTACTCAACACGCTGCATGCGGCCAGTCTGCTGCGAGACGTTGCGTCCTGCATGGCGCGCGGATCTTCACGGATCGAGGCTCAGGATGGATGATATCGAAGAGATGCACAACATCACGATGACCTCGGTAGCATCGCACAAGATCTACGGCATATCACAGACGATTAACTCGAGACTGCCAACTGGGCTAAATGCGTGTAATCCCTCTCCTATCGATAGCTGTTCTCGTTGCGATTGGGCATCGGGCTTGATGTTGAAAGCAGAGCGGACTCTGGGCGAGCGTCTGATCCAGTTCAGGGGATTGGATCGTATTATACCGTGCAATAGTAGGTTGCATACTTGCTCTGATGGCTATCTGTCATCAGCGGAGTTATTGTCTTTACATCGTGGTCAAGGCCTCGAACTGCTATAGCGAGACTGCCATTGGTCCAATATCATATTTTGACAAAAAAGTGTCCGTGGCTAAGCACGGCGCCTCGAAGCTATTCCGGCCATCCTCTGCCCCCCCTTCGTCCCGTTGGCAGTGCAAAGAACTGCGGTGTTTGTTGAGGTACAGCCCACCTATGATGCTATGCAGAACAGTGGTCTTTCCGTTCCCAGAATCATCGCGAACTTGGAAGCGGTGCAGCAATGTGCGCAAAGCCCTTAGTCGGGCGCCGTATACGGGAGAATTAGATGAACTTCCCGTGTTCTGCACGATGTAATGCGCGTGAGCCGTTGAGACGCAATTGAAGATGCACATGCCAAACTTGAAAAAACGAAATGACTGCGCTGTGCATGTCGCGCCTCGTCGTTTCTTCATGTCTAGAGCCGCCCAGATACACATGATTCTGCCTTATCGACTGCTAATTACATCGCTGGGCTGTGTGTTATCAATAAATGGGCGGTGCGAGTACAGCACCTTCGAAAAGCACACCAGTTGACCGATTGTGTGTGTGCACTCAACATGGCTGTGTAGCACCTGCATTGCATGCGGCTATGCGGGGGCAGTGTGTGCGTATGGAAACACGTTGCAACGTGACGAGACTGATACATATATCTCGAAAGCCGGCCTGGAAACTGAAACCTACGAGCATCTGCCCCGACTCCAAGATGGCACCATCGCTATGGCGTCCTCCGAACTTGAAAAGCACCTGAAACGCGACACGAAAGTTTCAATGAACAACGAGGATGACGTGCAAAGGTTTGCGCCAACGGTGAGTGGGAGAGCTTTGTGCGTACGTTAGCTTTGAAGCTTTATGCATTGTGTGCTACGCTGTGTTAGGTCAAGGGCAAGAAGAGTAAGCGGGCCAGGTGGCCACGAGGACTCTGCCACGATTTTCGGCCCGATCGAAGATGGTTGATTACGTTCTCCCAGTGGGGAGAACGTGATCGACCATCATCTTTGGGCTGACGATTGGGCTTTGAGAAACTGCAGGCTCGTCTGCCTAGTGTGGTACCCTCCAAGTCGCTTCCACTTGCACAGGACGATCTGGATCGATAGCGTCGATGGCGTGAAAGCCTATGCGAAGATGCTGAAACAGACGCCTGAGCTCAGAACGGGAGAGGCTCCGGTGTCTAGGAATTGATAAAAGGTACGTAACTGAACTATACGATAACCTGGTAGTGCTGCTGCATTTCCTGCCTGGTACCGCAGAACGCCGCAGAACATCGCATTTTGCAGCACCAGGCAAGTAATGCAGCAGTGGGGCCTCATTCGAGCCCGAACGCGCATCCGCCAATCGCCACGGCACGTACATGTCGTCCCTTTGCGGGGCATTCCCGTCATCCTTTATGGGGGGCGGAATGTGAGACGGAGGAGGCACGATCCTCGAACGTGTGTTGTTTCCTGCAGCACTGTAGTGCGTGAGTATCAAGTAGACTACACAATTACTGAAATGTTCCGCCCACAGAGCAGTGTTGCGAACGCGCAACAAAGAAAAATGGAAGTCACAGAGATCGCTCTGGGAAAAGAATCAAAGAGCACAGAAACGACGACGGAAAACACAGTACATGTTGAAGAGGGCCGGAGAAAATGTATAAATGTATACCGCACAGAGCGTAATGAATACAGCACAGAGCGCCACAGCCATTAATTGTCACGGCGAGGGAAAGCAATGAGCGGTACGGGAAAAGGACCAAGTGTATATATATATGAAGCTTTGAAGAACAAAGCGGGAGCGTGCAAAAGTGGTGCATGGAAAAGCACGAGCGTTATGTAGTGGTGTCCAATGAGGAATGGTGTATGTAAGCGGCTCAGGTCCTGTCAATAGCCAAATATAAATATTCGGGCGGGGTACAGGCCTCCGGAGACGCGCGATCGGGCGGCGAGAGGATAATCAGCCTTACGCGTGCGGCCACCGAGGGCCACCGACGCTCGCGAGCCAGCACAGTCAGCAACCCTACACTTCGACTGCAATCCATCCAGCAATGGAGCTCCCAGGACGAGATGCATGTGAACATTGCCTCGACCGCGGCCATTCGCAGGCGGTCGTACGCATGCCATCTCAGCTTGCACGTCCCCACGGCATCATGGCTATCACGCCTGGTCTGTGCCGTCCTCCGAGACCGATCAATCGCACACTGACTGGGTCTTCAGTCAAGCTCAGGGGCGAGGAGCCATCGATGATACCGCATGCACGAGACAAAATTGCGTCGCCCGTCGGCATCGGCGCGCACGCGCACGCGCCCGCTGCAGCACCGCCGCACCACACACGTCGCCGACCTGACCGCAGCTTTAAGCAGTGCAAATAGTCTGCGTGGCGCATATACCCGATTCCCGCAGCGTTCTCAGTCATCATCATCCTGACTCCATCCGGATCCCGATACCTTAATATTGCCGTGCCTCGCGGCTTCCATACCCTCCAAGTTGCCTGCGCACATCCGCCGCACAGCCATACCCGACGGATCCGCCGTCACTAACGCCGCTTGCATATCCTCGACTCCGCCCCTGTCAAGCAAGCAATCTCATTTAGGCACGTCCGTTCTGAAGACCCCATCAGCATGTGGTCTCCATTCGGACGAAACACCATCGACCAGCCATGGGAGGTGGTCGGCTTCAAGAGCGTCGAGCCCGTGCCGACATTCGACGACCACGACAGTGAGTTTGGCTATGCGATCGGAATCGCCTCACACTGAGCTTTTGCAGACCTGGACATCGTGCGCGCGAGCCCGATTGACATCAGCGCGAAGAGCGTGTTCGACGTCAAGCCGCCCTTCGTGCGCGCGAGCGCAGACGCTGCCCACCCGCGCAGGTTCGACCTCGAAAGCGCGCTGCGCACCGCGCGTTCGCGCCTGCTGAAGGAGGCCGC